TGTCCCTGCCAAGGCAGGGGTGGCACTGGATGAGCCTTAAGGTCCCTTCCACCCTAACCATTCCATGATCCACGCACAGACTCAGAATTCCGTGTTTCGTCTAACCCACCGCCTTTCCTCAGCCAGACCCCTACAGATCTGTGTCCATCTGAGAGCTCGGACACTCCTTTGGCTCCTCTACTCCTCCAAACCCTCAGAGTGACGATTCCCTAAGCCCAGAGCTGCCCCACAGCCTCGGGGCAGACACGGATCCCACAGCTCACAGCTGTGGCCCTGCTTGTCCCCCTAAGTCCCTAAATCCCTTCCCCTTGCTCCATAACACACCAGCTGTCTGCCAGGGATGATGCTGCGGGAAAACCTTTTGTTCCCGACGGGGCCCAAAGTCAGGAAAAGGATTTTATTCCTGTTTTTCAGAACCCAAAGCGGCTCCTTACAGGGTCATTGCCAAGTCGGTCCTGTCCTCGGAGATGGACGTGTCCTGGGAGCCCGTGGAGCAGGGGGAAATGACCGGAGTGCTTTTGGGATACGAGGTAGGAGATTCCAATGGGAATGGGAGACCCTGAGAGCCCAACAAGGAAATTCTCCTGGGTTATGTGAGGTTAAAGCATTTTGATTCCAGAGGTGTGGCATAATTCTCAAACCACGTGGTTCTAATGGGGCTGGCACTGCTCTCAGGAGAGATTAAAGGGAATCATCCAATTTTTCCTGCCTGCCTTTCCCAGGAGGCCGTGGCCTCATTCCTGGGAGCACAAAGCAAAGTACACAGAAACAAGCACCCAAAAAGGCCCTTCAGGGTGGGCTGACTTGGGATTTGCAGATCTCTCCTTCCTAAACCCATGCTGTCCTTGTCCATGCAGATCCGGTACTGGAAGGACGGGGACAAGGAGGAGGCGGCTGACAGAGTGAGGACAGCGGGGCTGGTGACATCGGCTCGCGTCACCGGCCTGAACCCCAACACCGACTACCACGTGTCAGTGCGAGCCTACAACCGGGCAGGGACCGGCCCCCCCAGCCCCGCCACCAATGTCACCACCACGAGACCTCGTGAGTGAGCCCTGACCCCTCTGCTTTCCACAGGACCCCCCAAAATCACCCAGACTTTGATCTTTGATGTCCTCTGAATGCCCCACAGCGGTGACAGCTCAGGGGACGGCTGGGACCAGCACAGCCTTCTCCTCCCTCCCTCATTTTCCCAATCCCTGTCTGGTTTTGCATCCCTCAGCACCAAAAAGGCCACCTGGGAACATCTCCTGGACTTTTTCTGGCTCCACAGTCAGCATCAAGTGGGACCCCGTGGTGGCCAAGGCAGACGAGTCGGCGGTGACGGGGTACAAGGTACGGCCGGCATGGCTGGGCTTCTCCTGGAGGTGATCCAAGGAACTCACAGGGAACAGGAGCTCAGCATTCCCTCTTCCCACAGATGCTCTACAGGCAGGATTCCCACTCGGCCCCCACCCTGTACCTGGCCAGCAAGAGCCAGATCGACATCCCCATCCCCGAGGATTTCACTCACGCCTTCGTCCAGATCCGGGTGACCGGGCCGGGTGGGGACGGGACCCCGGCAGAAGTTCACATCCTCCGGAACAGCGGTACCCGCGCTCCTCTGGCCACACCTGCTGCTCTGACCACACCCATTCCACTGACCACACCCATCCATGTGCTCTTCTGACCACACCTGCTCCACTGACCACACCCGTTCCACTGACCACACCCACTCCTCTGGCCACACCCATTCCACTGACCACACCCGCTCCACTGACCACACCCATTCCACTGACCACACCCATCCATGTGCCCCTCTGACCACACCCATTCCACTGACCACACCCATCCATGTGCTCCTCTGGCCACACCCATTCCACTGACCACACCCATCCATGTGCCCCTCTGGCCACACCCATTCCACTGACCACACCCATTCCACTGACCACACCCATTCCACTGACCACACCCATCCATGTGATTCCCTGGCCACTCCTGCCCCTCTGACCACACCCATTCCACCGACCACACCCTCTCCATGCCCAAATTCCCCTTTCCAAGGTTCTCCAAGGCCCTCTAGCTCACCCACTGGACACCTCCTCTCCTTCCCTTCCCAGCGGGAAGGGCTCAGCCACGCCCCTCCCATCCTGGCTGCAGTACGATCCCAAGAAATTGTGGTTTAAAATCCCACTCTCCCTTCCAGGACCATGGGAGAACATCCTCCCGTAGTGTTGTGGGCTGAGACTCGAACTGGTCCTTTCTGGAATTGTTTTTTCCTGGAATCAGCCTTTGGTTCCCTTGTGCTGCTCACTCTTGGGAATTCCCGACTCTCCTTTTCCCCACTCCTCTTCCCAAACTCAGTCCAGCCTGACCCAAATTTAGGATTTGCAGCCTCGAGACCCCACAACACCCAACTTCCCAAGAGTTAAGAGCTTAAAAACTATTTACGTTTTCCACTAAGAGTGAAATCCCAGCTCTGTGGGGCCGCAGCTCCAGCAAATTCCCTAAGTCCAGGGGTGAATTCCCCGTGCCCAAATTCCTGTTCCCAGCATTCCCAGGAGTTTTACCAGCGACAAACACACAAAAAACCCCACAAAACCTCCCTCAAGTTCCCCGCGGTGTCCGCGCCACCCTGCAGCCCCATCCCTATCCCGTGTTTTTCCAGGGACGAGCATGATGGTGGAGGACTCGGGGACAAGGCCAGCGCCACACGTCGTGGTCATCACCACCAACTCCCTGCTGCTGGTGGCCCTGATCAGCTCCCTGGAGCTCTGAGCACGCTCCGGACACGGCTCCTCCCGATCCCATGGGAATAACACAAATCCCACTTCGGGGCCAGGATTGGACCATGTGGTTGGAAAGGAGGAAGAAATTAGAAAGAGCTTTTTTGTTTTGTTTTGTTTGGAGGAACAAAAGCTTTCATACAAGACATGGGTCTTTAACCAATTAAATGTTTTTTAAGGAAAACGAGGAAAATGAAGAATTCTCCGGGAATTCTGCAGCCAGCTGCCCCGCCCTCACTGTATCCATAGGTTTTCTGCCTTATTGAAGCCATGTATGAGATAACCAGACTGCTAAATTAGACTTTTTTTTAACTCTGTACAGTGAATTCCGTGGGGGGACGGGGACTGAGGAGTTCAGGGACCAGCATGTTCCACACCCATCCCACCACAGCCAGCTCAGAGCCTTCATGGGATGGGATTGATCCTTTTTCCCCCAAAAAAAGAGCCAAACACTGCAGGAACCAGCCCAAGGAGACAAATCCATGTGAGGGTCGAGCTCTGCTCCAGCCTGAAAAGCTTTTTTTACTACTCTGGTGTTCACTTGCAGCCCCAGCCTGGTGCTCGTCTCAGCTGCGAGGTGCAAATTCCGTGTTTTCCCACATCTCACGTGCTTTTTGGGGATTTGTCACCCTGTTTCCTCTTTGGGAGAAGGGGATCCTTTCCCAGAATCCCTAATTTGGGCAGCTCTGCCTAAAAATGGAGGTGTCAATAAATCATATTTCAGAGGGGCTTAAAGGAGGAATTTTAGAAAATGACAAAATTAAAACAGGAACGGGAGACTCCAGGAAGCCACCGCTGGGACAACAAGGAAAATTTGGACTTGGATTCATCTCCCTGCACTGAGAATTCATCCAGACAAAATTCCAGGCTCGGATTGGGACTGCAAAGGCTGAGATCCAGCCAGGAAGAGGCTCTGGATTCCAGCCCTGATGGCTGCCGGACATCCCAAGGAGCCCCCTCTGCTCCAGAGGCTGGGAAAAGCAGGAATGCTGAGCTGAGCACCCACAGGACTGGTTGGGAATCGATGTTGCCTGTTGAAATCTCTGTCTCCCAGTAAAGCAGTTGACCAAAGTTAACGAGAATTGGTTGGTGTTGCTGCTGGTTCCATCCCAAGCGGGGGTTTAGGGATTTTTCCCTGGCTGTGATCCCTCAATCCCAGAGAAAACCGTGCCAGCCTGGGCAATCCCGACCCTGGAATTTCCTGGCTGGGCCCTGATGTGCAGTTTTCCCTTTAAATGCCAATTCCTCGCCCAGGAATGCCAATTTTTAGCCCAGATGGTGGCAGGAAAATCCCTCTCCAGACAGGGCAGCTCAGGCTTTGTTAAGCCCTGTTTTGGGCAGTCCCTTCTGCCATTCCATTAATCCGGGGGTGGGAGAGGCACGGGGAAGGATCTGCAGATCCGGCATTCAGACCTTGGGAAACGACAAAAAAATCTACATTTAAAGCCCAGTCAGAGCCACCAGCGGGAGGAAGAGGCTTGGAATCCTCCTGAAAACCTCTAAAATTAAAAGCTCTCCTAAAATGGAGCTTCCTAAAATACAGCCCAGGGGTTAAAGGTGTGCAGAGCCAGGGAGAGGAGCGGAATTCCGGGGATTTGGAGGGAGGATGAAGGATGAAGAGAAGGAAGGATGGAGAGGGAAGGATGAAGGATGGAGAGAGGGAAGGATGGAGAGGGAAGGATGAAGAGAGGAAAGGATGGAGAGGGAAGGATGAAGGACAGAGAGAAGGAAGGAGCCCTGCCCAGCTCCAGCCTCTGGTGATCCCAAAGATCCTGGAGTTCCAGGCTCAGCAGTGTTGGGGCAGCTCCTGCCCTGTCCCCTCTGCAGGGACACCCCTGGTCACTCTGCAGGGACATCAGCAGCAAGAGGGAAAGGTGGGAACAGGAATTTTATCCCAGTGGATCAGGGAATGGGATAACAGCTCCAGGAGCAGAGGACAGAGGAGCCAGGAAGCCCCAAAATCGATTTATGGGTTTTTTTTTGCTGCCATCCAATGAGTGACACCGACATTCCTCAGCTGAGGGAAGCCTGAGGAGATTCCAGGGATTTCGTCACTTGGATCTGCCATGGAAGCTCCTGATTGCTTCCTAAAGCTCGGGCACAAGGAATGGGAAACACATAGAATTCCCAGAAAGTCTGGGGTTTCTATGGAGTTCAGAGTTCCTGGGGTTTCCATGGAGCCCTTAGGGTTTCCATGGAGTCTGTGCCATCCTCGCCTCCAGGTGAAAAATTGGGAAAAAGGAGTTCAGGCACCAATTCAGAGCAGAGAGAGACTTTTTTCCCCTAAATTCCTGCCATTTATGGTGGGAATTCAGGGGCAGTGATGAAGAAAAGATGATTTTGCAGGGAAAAAGGGGAAAAAGGAGGGATGGGGATGCTCTTCCAAGGGTTTTTACTTCCCTACTTGCACTGAGCTCCAACCTGTGCTATTCCCTTTTCCTTCCTTCTCCCTTCCTTCCCCTGTTATGATAAACATCCCCCAATCCTTAATAACCCTTCAAAAATCAAAGAGTACTCCCCAAAAAAATCCCATTAAAGGCCCTTTGTGACAGCTGGACCCCGGTGGCCATCCCAGCCCTCAGTCTCCAAATAAAAACTCCAATTATGGATTCGTTTTCCCTGCTCTGAGCATCTGGTTCCCCTCAAAATTACCAAACCCCACATGCCAAAGATGAAGGAGATTTTTGGCTCCCGCTCCGACTTCCCCAGCAGAGCCGGAGCTTTCATCCCGCTGGATTTGGGAATCCCAGCTGGGCCCAAGACACGGAAATTTCCATGACAAAGAGCAGAGAGGCTCCTGCAGATGGGGCAGCTCTGGACCATTAACTCCCAGCCTGCTGTGATGGGTCACTCTCGATTTTTCCATGTTCAGGAGGTGAAAAAAACCCGCTGGGAATCAGCTCTGGGTAGTGCCTGGTTTGGTTTTCATTTGAATAAATAAAATTATTTCCATCCCTACCCATGTTTTTCGATATCAAAGTATTTTTGTGCTGGTCTGGTAAAAGGAAAAACTCGGGAATTTTTCAATTTTTAACCTTAGAGCTGTGCTCTTCTTTTCCCTGGATTTGGGTGTCCCTGTAGCTCACAGGGGAAAAGGCAACAAACAGCAAATATGAAAGAAAATTGGAAAAAAAGGTATTTTATACGTCCCTCCATGGTTTCCACTCCCTGCAGAATTCCTCATTGGAATTGTCCAATGGTTTATCCTCATTAATCAGCAGGAAAAATGGAAGATCCCACCCCCACTGAGCTGTTCCTGTAAGGATTTTAGGGATGAGCTGAGCTCTGAGAGGATCAAACCCGCCCAGCTCTCATCTCCGGCCTCCCGGTGCTCCCTGCCCTGCACGACCCAGGAATATTCCAGAAAATGCTTTTTCCAGGATGTCATGGAATAAACTTCCAGAGGGAAGTGGGGCATCCCTCGTCCCCACAGCTGGGAGCAGACCTGGGATCAGAGGGAAACGACAAAATTACCTCATTCCTCTCATCCCGGACCTGGGGCAGCTCCATCCCCCCAGAATTCTTGGAAAGGCAGGAGAAATTTAAGGAAATCCGAGGAAATTTGACAGGAGTAAGGATGGGAAGTGAAATTTAAAAAACTCCAAAGACCTTGAGGTAAAGGAAAAACTCTTTAGAGGAGCTGGGAGTTGTTTTCTGTGGCTCAGGGTGCTCCAAATCCCAGCTGGATCATTCCAGAATTCCACTGGAAGCACCTGCTGGAAATCCAGCACAGGTTCTCCAGCCCTGTCCTGACTTTCCAGGCTCCAAAGTGGCCAAAAAGACTCAATAGTAACTTGTGTCCATTGAAAATAAATGATAAATATTCCATTAAGTTCCATGGGATCCATGGGATGTCCTGAGTGGGAAGGGGAGGATCACCAAACTCCAACTGTGGACAACCCCAAGAATCCCATCCCAAATTCTTAAATTCCTAATCCGGCTCCAAAATGGCCGAAGATATTAAATAATAAAATGTCTGTTGCAAATAAATTCTAAATATCCCATTAAATATTTATGGAATCCACGGGATGTCCTGAGCGGGAAGGGAAGTTGGAAAATCCAACTGTGGACGATCTCAAGAAACCCATCCTGAATTCCTAATCCAGGCTCCAAAGTGGCTGAAAATATTCATATATAAACTGTGTCTGTTGCAAATAAATTCTAAATATCCCATTAAATAGTTACGGGATCCATGGGGATGTCCTGAGTTGGAAGGCGAGGATCACCAAACTCCAACTGTGAACAACCCCAAGAATCCCATCCCAAATTCCTGAATTCCAAATCCAGGCTCCAAAGTGGCTGAAAATATTAATTTATAAACTGTGTCTGTTGCAAATAAATTCTAAATATCCCATTAAATAGTTACGGGATCCATGGGGATGTCCTGAGTTGGAAGGGGAGGCTCACCAAAATCCAACTGTGGACAACCCCAAGAATCCCATCCCAAATTCCCGAATTCCTAATCCAGGCTCCAAAGTGGCTTTGAGAATATTAATTTATAAACTGTGTCTGTTGCAAATAAATTCCAAATATCCCATTAAATAGTTATGGGATCCATGGGGATGTCCCGAGTTGAAATGGGAGGATCACCAAACTCCCAACTGTGAACAACCCCAAGAATCCCATCCCAAATTCCTGAATTCCAAATCCAGGCTCCAAAGTGGCTTTGAGAATATTAATTTATAAACTGTGTCTGTTGCAAATAAATTCTAAATATCCCATTAAATTGTTATGGGATCCATGGGGATGTCCTGAATTGAAATGGGAGGATCACCAAACTCCAACTGTGGACAACCCCAAGAATCCCATCCGGAATTCCTGAATTCCAAATCCAGGCTCCAAAGTGGCTTTGAAAATATTCATTTATAAACTGTGTCTGTTGCAAATAAATTCCAAATATCCCATTAAATAGTTACGGGATCCATGGGGATGTCCTGAGTTGGAAGGTGAGGATCACCAAACTCCAACTGTGGACAACCCCAAGAATCCCATCCGGAATTCCTGATCCTAACAAAGAGCCAAAGACAGGGAATTGCGTCAGTCCTCATTCATTTCAAGTGCCGCTCTTTTCCTGCAAATCCTGCCCAGGCAGCAGAGCCCGAGGCTGAACAGGATCCCCACGATCACCCCACTCCCAACCCCCAGCACGACCTCATAAAACCACTGCTTCTCCCAAAAATTCCACCGCTTCTCCGACTCCGTGGGGCCCGTGGCGTTTTCCGGCGGCTCCTCCCCGTTGGCCGCCAGCTGCTGCTCCCAAGTCAGGGATTTCTGGAAGTCGAGATCCACCAGATCCCTGGGGATCACCCTGAGGCCGAAGTAGATCCTCTTGACAGGCTGGAAGGAGCTCAGCACCTGCACGTCGCAGAGGTAGGTGCCGGAATGCGACTCCAGCGCCGGCGAGAAGCGCAGGGAAGGGCTGGAATTGCGGAAGGGATGGAACAGGAGGTCGTTGGTGGTGATGAGCCCGGGGGCGAACCTCCAGGTGTAGCCGAAATTTGGTCCCTCCAGGCTGGCGGCATCCGGGGAGAGGCAGGTGAGCTGGAAGGGTTTTCCCTCGGGAACGCTGAGGTGCCGGAGGCCGCAGATCCACTCGCGGAGGCAGCGGGAGCGCACCAGGGAGCAGTTGCGGCGCTCGCCGGCCGGGCTGTACTCGCAGAGCTGCTCCTGCTGCACGCCCAGCCCGCAGGTGACGCTGCAAGGCGTGGAGTTCACCACCACCATGGCCTTCAGCCCCAGCAGGACGGACTCTGCTCCCGGGGGAAGAGCTGAGCCTGAGCCTGCTTCCGAGGGAGGCTCCGAGCCCGGTTCTGAGGGAGGCTCCGAGCCCAATCCTGGTTCCAAGGGAGGCTCCGAGCCCGATCCTGGTTCCGAGGGAGGCTCCGAGCCCAGTTCTGATGGAACCTCTGATCCCGATCCTGGTTCCGAGGGAAGCTCTGATCCCGATCCTGGTTCCGAGGGAGGCTCTGATCCCGATCCTGGTTCTGAGGGAAGCTCAGATCCTGGTTCTGAGGAAAGCTCTGAGCCCGGTTCTAACGGAAGCTCTGAGCCTGGTTCTGAGCGAAGCTCTGATCCCGATCCTCGTTCCGAGGGAGGCTCCGAGCCCGATCCTGGTTCCGAGGGAAGCTCAGATCCCGGTTCTGAGGAAGGTTCTGAGCCCGGTTCTAAGGGAAGCTCTGAGCCCGGTTCTGATGGAAGCTCTGAGCCTGGTTCCAAGGGTGGCTCTGATCCCAATCCTAGTTCTGAGGGAAGCTCAGATCCCGGTTCTGAGGAAAGCTCCGAGCCCGGTTCCGAGGGTGGCTCCAATCCCAATCCTGAGGGAAGCTCTGAGCCCTGTTCCGAGGGAAGCTCCGATCCCGATTGCGGTTCTGAGGAAAGTTCCAAGCCCGGTTTGAAGGGAAGCTCAGATCCCGATCCCAAGGGAATCTCTGAGCCCAGTTCCAAGGGAAGCTCAGATCCCAATCCCAAGGGAAATGCCGATCCTGATCCCGAGGGAAGCTCCATTCCCGATCCCGAGGGAAGCTCCATTCCTGCTCCTGAGGGAAGCTCTGATTCTGATCCCAAGGGAAGCTCCGAGACCAGTTCCAAGGGAAGCTCCGATCCCGATCCCAAGGGAAGTGCCGCTGGAACGCACAGGGTGCACAGCAGGATCACCACGATGGGGCTCTGCTCCATCTTCCAGGTGTTTTTGTGTCTGGGTTCAGCACTCCGAACCGCCTGGAATCATTCCATGAATCTTCCAGGTTCTTCGGGATGTCCCTGACATCCCACCAGATCTAATCCTTCCACCTGGGAAAATCCTCCCGGATGTGGAGCTGGAGGCACAACTAAAAAAAGACACAGCAAGGCATTACTGGATCCAGCAGGGCGGGAATTTCAGGAATTCCATCGGGAATGTTCTTTGAACAGGACAGGAGGATGTTCTGATCCATTGGATCCAATCCAACTCTGCCCAAACTCCATGAATTTTGGGTGTGTTCAGCAATTTCAGAGTGAAATTCTCTCCTCCCTGTAAGACTTCCCACATTATTTCAGGTGGATGTTATTTTGGATGGATTTCCACTGGAAAAGGAGCGGCTGCATTTTCATTTTCCCACCAAACTGAAAATTTCCAGCAGGAATTACTGCTGGAATCTTCCAAATAACGCTGTGGAGTGTGAGGAAATCCCAAAATCCCAATTCCTCACTGAGGCCCTGTCCAACCCTCACTTATACAAACACATTCCACTCCGGAGCGCTCCCCAAATCCAACCCCAACATTCCAACCTCTACTGGGGCTGATCCATGGGAATCCAGGCTGGTCTGAGCTGGTCGGGCTCTGGTCACTCCATGTCCACACCAGGCCCTGGAGCTGTTCCCATGGGAGCAGCTCTGATGTCACAGCCGGGGCACAACAGCCCCGAACATTCCAAGGAAGAACCCTCAGGGAAGGTCCAGCAAATCCTGAGAGCTCTGCAGGAGGTTCTGGATAAAATTCCCATCCTTGGAAGGAACCACAGGAGTTGGGAGAGCTCTTGTTCCTCAGGGATCCGACCCCAAACTCCACTGATGGATCCACAGGAATCGTTCCCATGCTGCCATCCCAGGAAAACGCTCGGAAGGAGATTCCGGTGGGATCCATCCGCCAAAAAAACGATGCACTGCTGAAGTGTTCTTCCCTGGAAAATCCAGGTTTTCTGAGGGAGGAACACCCCACAGGTCTGTGGAATCACCTTCTCCATAGTTTTTAACCACAATTTTATGGAAAAGACATCTCATAATCAGAGTCTCCCGATGGGCATCCCTGGATTCCCACAGGGATTTGGGTTTGCCGAAACCCACAGCCCCAAATTCGGATCCATTTCCCTTCTTCACACTCCTTAAACAGAACTGAAGAATTCCCAGAACTCCAGGAGGATTTTCCACCCCTCAATCCCCCCTGGAGCTGCCCTTCCCTGTCCTAGCTCCGTGTCCAGCTCCCCTTTCCCAGCCTGGGCACTCAGGGATCTGGGAATTCCAGACTGCTGTGGGTGGGAAGGAAAACAAACCTCAAATCCCACAAATCCCACCCATCCCACCATCCCAGGATGCTCCAAACCCATCCAGCCTGGCCTGGGGCAGCCACGGATTCTCCGGGAATTTCATTCTCTGAGCACTCAGGGCTTGGTTTTACTCCAGGTTTACTCCTCTCCCTTCATAAAACCAACAAAAAAATACCCTAAAAACCCCAAAAACGGCATGTTTGAAAGATTCCCAAATTCCAGCATGACAGAAACCCCCAACTTTTCCATGGAAAAGCCAAGATTTACCCGTGGATTTTAGGAAATGGAAGGTACCTCTTTATTTACAAACACAGAACCACCACCGCTGCGGGAGCTGACTGGATATTGTACAAAGCCAGGGAATAAAATAAGGATGGGAAAAAAATAGGGAAATAAAATAAAGATGGGAATAACCAGGAAATAAAATAAAGATTGGAATAACTGGGAAATAAAATAAAAATGGGAACAAACCAGGAAAGAAAATAAGGATGGGAACAAAGCAGGAAATAAAATAAAACAAGGATGGGAATAACCAGGAAATAAAATAAGGTTGGGAATAAAGCAGGAAAGAAAATAAGGATGGAAATAAAGCAGGAAAGAAAATAAAATAAGGATGGGAAAAACCGGGAAATAAAATAAAATAAGGATGGGAATAAAGAAGGAAATACAATAAAGAAGGGAACAAAGTGAGAAATAAAACAGAGACAGGAATGAGGCAGGAAATAAAATAAGGATGGAAACAAACTGGGAAATAAAATAAAGATGGAAATAATCAGGAAATAAAATACAGATGGGAACAGACCAGGAAATTAGGATGGGAATAAAGCAAGAAAGAAGGATGGAAACAAACCAGGAAATAAAATAAGGATGGGAATAAAGCGGGAAATAAAATAAGGATGGAAAGATGGGAACAGACTAGGAAATAAGGATGGGAATAAAGATGGGAACAGGAAATAAGGATGGGAAAAAATCAGGAAATAGAAGAAGGATGGGAATAAACAAAGGCATTTACACTGTACAGAGGGAAAGCTGAATTTGGGGGGATTCGCTGCTTTAACCCAACCTGCAGAACCTTGGACTGGGCATTTTTAATTTGGGGGGGTTGGGCCCAGCACCCAGGGTGGGTTTGGCACGGCAGAGTCACCCCACAGGCAAAAAGACCAAAAAAAAAAAAGGAATTTTACACTCAAGGTCATAAATTTCCCCAAATGAACCCAAATGTCCCCAAAGCTGGGAATGAAAACATCAAGTTTTGGAAAATTTCAAAAGCTCTGATTTCCAAATGTTTTGTCTCTCCTCATTTTTATACCCGCACAGTTCTGGCTGCAAATCCGTCACTTCCCAATTCCTTTCCTGCTTTTGAGTTCTGCAGGACACCCAGGAAATTTAAACAGCTCCTGATAATCCAAATAATTCCACCTGGGAAACACTGAAACTCCAAAGTCTGGGGGGAAAAAAAAGGGATTTAGGGATGAAATTTCCTTTGCTCAGGATGTTGGTGTGGGATAAGAGGAGCCAGGCTGTGAGTGCTGGATGGGGAAAGTGCCATTCCCATTCCTACAGGAAATCCTGAAGGAATAAAAGTTGGGAATGAGCTGCCAGCTTCCATTTTTAACCCTCAAGTGGGAAAAACAGCAACCCTTTGGAAAAGTTCTGCTTCGGTTCTGAGGAAAAAATTGGTTTTCATTTATCAAGGAGGAGCCTGGATATTCCTGGAGGAGAATTTCCCAGGGAAGAGAAGGAACAAAACTGGAAAGGACAGGAGGGAATTCCAGCAGAGCTTTGGGAATCAGAGGCTGGGAAAAAAATAAAAAAATCCATTGGAAAATTACTTTTTTTTAATCTAGAGCTGCTCCTTCTGCCACTGGCAGAGCGGGAAAAATAAACACAAAATCGAGGAAAACTCCAGAGGGGCCTCAGCTCCTCACATCCCACTGGAAATTCCTGAAAATTTGGGCTGGGATCAGCAGCTCTGCCCTGATCCTGTCAGGCAGGGAAAAGCCTGGCTCAGCCAGATGGGAATTCCCAGCTGGAAAAGGGAGACTTGGCAGGAGACAGGAATCCAAACTCACACTTTGGGCTGCTCTTCCATCCGGGAATGCTGAGAGATTTTGGGAGATAAGAGGTGGAGAAGCTCTGGAGCGGCAGGGAAGGGGCTCAGGTCACTTTGGGACAGGGATTTGTCCCCAAAATTCCCGGCTGGAGCTCAGTGCCAGCCTGATCCGCGGAGAGGCAGCAGGAGGGACGGAGGCTCCCTCTTCCAGAGTCATTCCTGCCCCAAATCCCTCCCTGAATCCACGGAATTAATTCAGTCTGTGCCAGTCCTGCCTGGGAATTCCGGCCTTTCCACACGGGGAGCCAAGAGAGGAAAGGAGACAGGGAGAGAAGGGAGAGTCTTCATAGCAACTCTGAGATTGCACCACCTGCTGAAGAGAGCAGAGAGGGAAAAGTGAGAGTTCGGACCCATCCCGGAGCTCCCCGGATCCAGAGAGCCCCAGCGGGAGCGGGGAAAAACGGGAAGTGCAGGGGGGAATGGGAAATGGGGGGAAAAATGGGAAATCCGGGAAAAAAAATGGGATATCTGGAAAAAACAAAGGGAAATGCAGGGAAAAAAATGGGAAATCTGGGGGAAAATGAAGGGAAAAATGGGATATCTGGAAAAAAATGGGAAATGCAGGTCAAAAAAATGGGATTTCTGGGAAAAAAGGGGAAATGCAGGGGGAAAATGGGAAATGAAAGGAAAAATGGGAAATGCAGGGGGGAAAATGGGAAATGAAGGGGAAAAATGGGAAAGGCACGGGGAGAAATGGGAAATAAAAGGGGAAAATGGGAAATCCAGGGGAAAACGGGAAGTGCAGGGGGGAATGGGAAATGGGGGGGGAAATGGGAAATCTGGGGAAAAAAAATGGGATATCTGGAAAAAACAAAGGGAAATGCAGGGCAAAAAAAATGGGAAATGCAGGGAAAAAAAAAGGAAATCTGGGGGAAAATGAAGGGGAAAATTGGATATCGGGAAAAAAATGGGAAATGCAGGTTAAAAAAATGGGATATCTGGGAAAAAAGGGGAAATGCAGGGGGAAAGTGGGAAATGAAAGGAAAAATGGGAAATGCGGGGGAAAAAATGGGAAATCTGGGGGAAAATGGGAGATGCAAGAAAAGAAATTGGAAACCTGGGGAAAAAAATGGAAAATGAAGGGGGAAAATGGGAAATGAAGGGGGAAAATGGGAAATGGAGGGGAAAAATGGGAAAGGCACAGGGAGAAATGGGAAATAAAAGGGGAAAATGGGAAATCCAGGGGAAAATGGGAAATGCAGGGGAAAAATTTGAAATCTGGGAAAAAAATGGGAAATGCAGGAAAAAATGGAAATGAAGGGGGAAAATTGGAAATGCAGAGGGAAAATGGGAAATGCAGGGAAAAGAAATGGGAAATGCAGGGGAAAAAATGGGAGTGGGTGAGATTTTGTAGCTAAAAACCCCAAAATTTCAGTACCAAGAGGCTGCTTGTTGACAGCTCTGGGATTTATTTGAGATTCTGGGAGTGCAGCACAGCTCAGAAATTCTTTATTCCCAAACTTACCTGGTGTCAAATAATTTATAATATCCCAAATTTCCAAGAAATACCTAAGAAATAAAGCCCCACCTAAGCGTGGGTGAAGCCAGAGCAGAGGATTTTATCCTGAACTGTGAAACGAGGAAATTGCTCGGTTTTAAGCCGGGTTAAACACAAAAAAAATCTGATTTTAACATTTTCTGCCGGCAGAAAATGAATTAAGAGAATGAATTAATGAAGATAATTAATCCCAGTCCCAGCCATGCAGCTCCCACATGGAAATCCCAAAGATTTCCCAGGAAAACTCTCCCTGTGCAGCTGCTTCAGCCCCGGGTTGGCTCCTGCAGGAAGCAGCAGAATTCATGGAATTCCCGCTCCCTGCAGCCAGGATGGGAAGGAAAGGGAGCCTGGATCCAAATTCCACAGGAATTCCACGGGAATTTGGAATTTGGAACCCTGAGGAAAAGCTGGTAGCCAAAAATGTTGGGAATTTTGGGTGCAAGGCACAAAGAAGACAACGGGAAGAGGGAATTCCACGGAATTCTGTGGCTTTGGGAAGAGCCAAGGCATGGATTCTTTCCTCTCCCCGTGTGGCTCCTACAGAGATTCCAGCACTGGGATCCACTGGGAATCTCTCCTGGATCCTCCCCAGCTCAGGAATTCCAGGAAAATAGGGATTTTCATGGAATGTCATGGTTTGGGTGGTTTAAATCCCATCCCATTCTATGGCAACCTCAATCCTTGGACATTCCCAGGGATTCCTCTGGGCAGGAATTTTCCCCTATTTCCCTTCATCCCAAACACCACAGGCAAGCAAAGCCTAAAAACAGATTTTAGGGAGCTCCAACTGATGGGAAAATCCAACGGGATTTGGGTCTAAACCCATTTTTGAGGTGAACAAATTCCCAGTTGGCTCAGGAATCTCATCCCAACCTCAAAGCAGGGAAATCAATCCCAGATTTTCCCGCAGCAAAAAAAAAAATCCAAGATTTTCCTGCACCAAAATCCTTCCAAAGAGGGCTGGAAAAGGAGAGGGAAAAGCAGAAAAACCAGGAAAGGAGTTGGGCTGCTCTGCTGCTGGATCTGGAACATTCCAGAGGGACTGGGAATGGGATTTCCCAGCGAGGAAGGCACTCCACAGAAAACCAGGAATTAGGGACAGCAGCTGAGTACAAAGGTACAGTCAGCCCCTCCTCAGTATGGAAATCATAATTAAAAATTAAATGTTAATTAAAAATTAAAGCAGCCCCTCCAACATGGAAAATCCAAGGATCCAGCACTGTTTGGAAGCCAAGGATTGGAATTCTCCTTGGAAATCCCAATGTTCACGTTCCAGGCCAGGATCCTTTCTTATTTCTCAATTAAATCCTTAATCTTTAAATCTCAATTAAATCTTGATCTTAATGCTTTCTCATTTCATAATTTAAATAATTTGAATTTAGGACCAGCTCAACACCACAAAAATTGATGAATCCTTCATTTTCCCCCAGAATATTTCCTGACTTCTGCAGGATCTGAGGGAAGGAATTAAACCAATGAAATGAATTAAAATAATTAAAACAATCTGAATTTAGGACCACCTCCACACCACAAAACTGTGGAATCCTTCATTTTCCCCCCCAAAATCAGCCCAAATCCAGATATTCTATCATTTCTGCAAGATCTGAGGGAAGGAAATTAAACTATTGAAACCAATTAAGAATTTTGGATCACCTCCACACCACAAAACTGTGCAATCCTTAATTTTTCCCCCCAAAATCAGCCCAAATCCAAATATTCAATCATTTCTGCACGAGCCGAGGGAAGGAATCAAACAAATTAAAACAATTAAAATAATTTGAATTTAGGACCACCTCCACACCACAAAACTGTGGAATCTTTCATTTTCCCCCCAAAATCAGCCCAAATCCAGATATTTAGTTATTTCTGCAGGAGCTGAGGGAAGGAAATTAAACCAATGAAACCAATTAAAACAATTAAAACAATTAAAACAATTTGAATTTAGGACCACCTCCACACCACAAAACTGCAGAATCCTTCATTTTCCCCCCAGAATATTTCCTGACTTCTGCAGGAAAGCAATGGATCCAATGAAAATAATTTGAATTTAGGACCACCTCAATACCACAAAACTGTGGAATCTTTCATTTTCCCCCAAAAATCAGCCCAAATCCAGATATTTAGTCATTTCTGCAGGAGCTGAGGGAAGGAAATTAAACCAATGAAACCAATTAAAACAATTAAAACAATTTGGATTTAGGACCACCTCCACACCACAAAACTGCAGAATCCTTCATTTTCCCCCCAGAATATTTCCCGATTTCTGCAGGAAACCAATGGAACCAGTGAAAATAATTTGAATTTAGGACCACCTAAATACCACAGAACTGTGGAATCCTTCGTTTCCCCCCCCCAAAATCAGCCCAAATCCAGACATTCTATCATTTCTGCAGGATCTGAGGGAAGGAATTAAACCAATGAAACAAATTAAAATAAAACAATTTGAATTTAGGACCACCTCAATACCACAAAACTGTGGAATCCTTCGTTTCCCCCCTTCAAAATCATCCCAAATCCAGAAATTTTATCATTTCTGCAGGATCTGAGGGAAGGAATTAAACCAATGAAACCAATTAAAATAAAACAATTTGAATTTAGGACCACCTCCACACCACAAAACTGCAGAATCCTTCGTTTTCCCCCCAGAATATTTCCTGACTTCTGCAGGAAACCAATGGAACCAATTAAAATAATTAAACCAATTTGAATTTAGGATCACCTCCACACCACAAATTTGCAGAATCCTTCATTTTCCCCCCAGAATATTTCCTGACTTCTGCAGGAAACCAATGGAACCAATTAAAATAATTTGAATTTAGGACCACCTCCACACCACAAAACCCCTCCAACGTGCAGCACACAGAAACCAACCAACCCCTCTCCATTTCCCTACGCGCACAACTCGATTTTATTCCCGTTTTCTACTTAAAAAAAACCCAAAAAATCCGATTTTAGCCTCTTCCTTGGCAGCGGGCGAGCGGGGAGGGAGGAATTTGGAATTTTGGGGTGACAAAGGCAGGCCACCAGGGGGGTGCCAGGTGTCCTTACCTGCCAGGGGCTGGCCCAGCTCCGCCTGCGCTTTGCCCTTGGCCGCTCCTTCCAGGGGGAAAGAGGCTCTGTCCCCTTTGTAGAGTTTGGGTTTGAACGGAGAATCTTTGTCTTTACCTTTGGATCCTTTGGGCCTGCCCGCCTGCTTCTTCTTGGATTTACCGTCGCCCTTCACGCCCAGCAGCGGGTGCACTTCTGGGAGAGGGGAATTGCGGGGGGAATTGGGGGTTTTGGGGGTGAAACAGGGGGAAATTGGGGTTTGGGGTGGGAAAATGGGGTTTGGGGTGAGTTGAAACTCTGAAATCTTGAGATCAGATCCCTCCCAACACCCGAAAACCCTGAAATCCTGATCAGATCCCTCCCAATACCCCAGAACCCTTGGGATCAGATCCCTCTCCAAATGCCCTACAACCCTTGGATCAGATCCCTCCAAATGCCCTAAAACTCTAAAATCCTTGGAATTGGATCCCTCCCAACAACCCAAAACCCCTCGGGGGACCAGACCACCAAACCCCAAACCCTTGGGATCAGATCCTTCCCAACACCTTAAAACCCTGAAATCCCGATCAGATCCTTCCCAACACCTCAAAACCCTCGGGATCAGACCCCAAACACCCCAAAACCCTCGGGATCAGACCCCCAATCCCTGAAATCCCTAGGGATCAGATCCCTCCCAACTCCCCAAACCCCTCGGGATCAGACCCCCAAACCCCAAAACCCTGAAATCCTGATCAGATCCTTCCCAACACCTCAAAACCCTCGGGATCAGATCCTTCCCAACACCTCAAAACCCTCAGGATCAGACCCCTCCAAACCCCCCAAACTCCTCAGGACCAGACCCCAAACCCCAAATCCCAAATCCCAAACTCTTGGGATCAGATCCCTCCCAACCTGCCAAACCCCTCAGGATCAGACCCCCAAACCCCTCAGGACCAGAGCGCCAAACCCCAAACCCTCAGGATCAGAGCCCCAAACCCCAAAGCCCTTGGCATCAAATCCCTCCCAGTGCCCTAAAACCCTCAGGATCAGACCCCCAAACCCCAAACCCTCGGGATCAGATCCCTCCCAACCTGCCAAACCCCTCGGGGGACCAGACCCCCAAACCCTCAAGATCAAACCCCCAAACCCCCAAACGCCAAACCCCTCGGCATCTCGCACCCACCATCACTGGGGACTCCCTGGAGCTCGATGTTGGTGGTTTTGGGTTTTTTCTTGGGGTTCTGGGCGCCGTCGGGGGCGCCGGGGCGCTTCCTGTCGGGGCCGAGCGGGTCGTCGGGCAGCGCGCCGGGCGCGGCCTCGGGGGGCGGCCCGTAGGGGCTCTCCTCGGGGTCCTCCACCTCGGGCGCGATGGGCAGGTACAGCAGCGCCCGCGCGTCCTCCAGCTCCTCGTCACTGCCGCCCGCACCGCGTCGGGGTTAGCATGGGGGTTGGGATGGGATGGGGTTTGGGATGGGATTGGGATGGGGTTTGGGATGGGGTTTGGGATGGGGTTTGGGATGGGCTTGGGATGGGGTTTGGGGGTTGTTGTAGGGATTGGGATGGGGATTTTGGGGGTTGAGGTAGACATTGGGATGGGGTTTGGGGGTTGGGATAGGGTTTGGGATACGGATTTGGGGGTTAGGATGGGGGTTTGGGATGGGGTTTGGGGGTTGATATAGGGATTGGGATGGGGTTTTGGGGGTTGGGATGGGGTTTGGGATGGGGATTTGGGGGTTGGGATGGGGTTTGGGATGGGGTTTGGGATGGGGTTTGGGGGTTAGGATGGGGGTTTGGGGGTTAGGATGGGGGTTTGGGCTTGGGATGGGGCTTGGGATGGGGTTTGGGATGGGGTTTGGGGGTTGTTGTAGGGATTGGGATGGGGTTTTGGGGGTTGGGATGGGGTTTGGGGGTTAGGATGGGGGTTTGGGGTTGGGATGGGGTTTGGGATGGGGTTTGGGGGTTAGGATGGGGGTTTGGGGTTGGGATGGGGTTTGGGATGGGGTTTGGGGATTGATGTAGGCATTGGGATGGGGTTTTGGGGGTTGGGATGGGGTTTGGGATGGGGTTTGAGGGTTGGGATGGGGTTTGGGATGGGTTTTGGGGGTTGATGTAGGCATTGGGATGAGGTTTTAGGGGTTGGGATGGGGTTTGGGATGGGGGTTTGTGGTTGGGATGGGGTTTGGGATGGGGTTTGGGGGTTGGTGTAGGCATTGGGATGGGGTTTTGAGGGTTAGGATGGGGTTTGGGGATTGGGATGGGAAATTTTTGGGTTTAGAACAGGTTTACAATGGGCTTTTGGGGTTTGGGATGGGGATTTGGGGTTTGGGGATGTGGGGGTTAGGATGGGGGTTTGGGGATTGGGATTGGAAATTTTTGGGTTTAGAATGTGTTTAGGATGGGCTTTTGGGGTTTGGGATGGGGTTTTGGGGTTTGGGATGGGGATTTGGGGTTTGGGATGGGGATTTGGGGGTTGGGATGGGAATTCTTGGGTTTAGAACGGTTTTAGGATGGGGTTTTGGGGTTTAGGATGGGGATTTTGGGGTTTGGGATGGGGTTTTGGGGGTTGGGATGGGGATTTTGTGGTTTATGATGGGAATGTTCAAAGGGAATGTTGAGTTTTCTAAAGGGAATTTTGGGCGGTATAATGGGAATGTTTAAAGGGAATGTTGAGTTTCCCAAAGGGAATTTTGGGTTTTATGAAGGGAATATTTAAAGGGAATGTTGGGATTTATAACAGGAATTTTCTGGTTTCTAAAGGGAATTTTTAAAGGGAATTTTGTGGTTCCTAAAGGCAATGTTTGGTTTGCGAAGGGAACGCTCTATGAAGGTTAATTAGCGCTCATTAAGGAGTTTCTGGGTCAGTGTTAATTAATTAGCTCCAGGGGCTGGCACCTGCTGCAGAAGGCGGCGATGGGATCCACGCTGGTCACGTCCACCTCCTCATCCTCGGCAGCATCCGCCCCTGCACCAGGAAAACGGGAATTAATTCTGGGAAAGACACCCAAAAACTGGGAATGAACTCCGGGAAAAACACCCAAAAAACCAACTGGGAATTAATTCCAGGAAAAACACCCAAAAACAACTGGGAATGAACTCTGGGAAAAATATCCAAAAAACAACTGGGAATGAACTACAGGAAAAACACCCAAAAAACAATCGGAAATGAACTCCGGAAAAACAACCGGGAATGAACTCCAGAAAAACACCCAAAAAACAACCTGGAATAAACTCTGGGAAAAACACCCAAAAAACAACCAGGAATTAATTCCAGGAAAAACACCCAAAAAACACATGGGAATGAACTCCAGGAAAAACAACCAGGAATGAACTCCAGGAAAAACACCCAAAAACAACCTGGAGACTCTCCTGTCCCAGCAGGAAAAATCCTAAAAACAGCACTAAAATATTTCCTACAATGGCACAAAATGGGCCTAAAATAATTCACATTAAAGCACAAAACAAACTTAAATATTTACTATTAAAGTAAAAAACAATTCTAAAATATTTCCTGTAAAAACAAAAAAAAGCTAAAATAACTCATATTAAAACATAAATCTAAAATATTTCCTATCATAGCACAAAACGAGCCCAAAATAATTCTTATTAAAGCACAAAACAATTTTTTGGGAATGGTTGGGAATTTTTAAGAATGGTTTGGGGATTTTTTGGGAACTGTTTGGGAACTTTTTTGGGATTTTTTGGGAATGGTTTGGGAATTTTTTGGGAATGGTTTGGGAACTGTTTGGGAACTTTTTGGGAATGGTTTGGGCAGCACCTGTCTGCTCTGGCTCGCTCTTATCCTCATCCTCAATGTCGAATTCCGATTCCCTCTCCTCATATTCCACATTTTCATCCAACTCCTTGAAATCAGGGGCAAAAGCACTCCAGTTTTCCTGAAAAAAAAATCATAAAAAAGCAGATTTAATACATCCTGGGAAACTGCCTGGGATGGAGCATCCCCAGCTCCTCTGGAATTCCCTCCCAGGGAAGGATTTATTCCCAATATCTCAATATCCAAAGCAGCCCAGGGAATCCTGGAATGGGTTGGGTTGGGATCCCATGGGCAGGGACACCTCCCACTATCCCAGGGTGTAATTTGATCCATTTTACCCATTTTATTAATTTTCTTCACTTTATCCACTGTCCAACCCATCCTGGGACACTGCCAGGGCTGGAGCAGACATGGATTCTCTGGGAATTCCATCGCAGCCCATCCCAGGGAAGGATTTATTCCCAATATCCCATCCAAACCAGGTCAGGGAATCCTGGAATGGGTTGGGTTGGGATCCCATGGGCAGGGACACCTCCCACTATCCCAGGGTGTCATTTGATCCATTTTATTAATTTTATTCACTTTATCCACTATCCAACCCATCCTGGGACACTGCCAGGGCTGGAGCAGCCACGGATTCTCTGGAATTCCATTGAAAGGATTTATTCCCAATATCCCATCCAAACCAGCTCAGGGAATCCTGGAATGGGTTGGGAGGGATCCCACTTTTTTCACCCATTTTACCCATTTTATTCACTTTATCCACTGTCCAACCCATCCTGGGGCACTGCCAGGGCTGGATCAGCCAAAATGTCCCTGGCCAATCCCGTGGCAGGCCCAATTCCCAAGGGAGCAACCCCAACCCCTCACTCACCACCTGGTTCTGAGCCCAAATGGAAACCACCCCGCTGGAGATGGAGGCGATGATGGGGCGCACCGGGTGCCACTGCCGGCGAGCGAAAACAAAGAAAACACCTTCATGAGCAAATCAGGCATTGCCACACCCCAATTCCCAAATCCCGGGGGAGCCCGGGGGCCGGGGGGTTCCTCACTGCCACGTCCAGCAGCAGCTCGCCGCGGGTGCCGTGCAGGATCTTCACCAGGTTGCCGATGCTCTTCTCCCAGATGTAGAGCGCGTGCTGGCGCGCCGAGCCCGCCACGATGTACTCGCCGTCCCCCGAGAAGCAGCACTTCTTCCAGGGCGTCCTGGGGCACAGGGGTGTGTGCTTTTGCATTTAAACTTACACATTTTTTAAAATTATTATTTATTTTTAAGCTGTCTATTTTAGGTTTTGGCTTTTATATTTTTCACGTTCTGTGCCTCGGGTTTAGATTTTTGGTTTTCAGAGTCTGCTTTGCTTTTATATTTAAGCTTTTATATATGTACTTTTTGATTATTTACATTTAAGCTTTATGTTTTGGGCTTTAGCCCCTCACTAGTTCCCCAAATCCACTCCTGTTCCCCAAACCCATCCCTGAGCCCCTCAGCTGTCCCCACACCTCTCCTGCACCCCAAATCCCCATCCCAACCCCCAAATCCCCATCCCAAACCCCAAAAGCCCATCCCAAACCCCAAAAGCCCCATCCCAACCCCCAAAAGCCTATCGTAAACCCGTTCTAAACCCAAAAATTTCCCATCCCAATCCCCAAACCCCATCCTAACCCCCAAATCCCCATCCCAAACCCCAAAAGCCCATCCCAAACCCCAAAAGCCCCATCCCAACCACCAAAAGCCTATCGTAAACCCGTTCTAAACCCAAAAATTTCCCATCCAAATCCCCAAATCCCCATCCCAAACCCCAAATCCCCATCCCAAACCCCAAAAGCCCATTGTAAACCCGTTCTAAACCCAAAAATTTCCCTCAGCTGTACCTTGTCCTCTCCCCTGTCCCCCCAGTTGTGTCCCCAGTCCCTGCCCTCACCTGTCCCCAGTTCCCTCACCTGTCCCCAGTCCCCTCACCTGTCCCCATGCCCCTCACCTGTCCCCAGTCCCTGCCCTCACCTGTCCCCATGCCTCTCACCTGTCCCAGGCCCCACCCTGAGCTCCTCCCCTGTCCTCAGTCCTGTCCCCAGGCTCTGCCCTCACCTGTCCCCTGTCCCTTTCCCTTGTCCCCAGTCCCCTCCCATGTCCCTGTCCCTCTTCCCCGGTCCCCTCCCCCATTCCAGTGCCCCTCTCCTGTCCCCAGTCTCCTTGCTTGTCCCCAGTCCAGTCCCCTGTCCCCAATTCCCTCACCTGTCCCCAGTCCCCTCACCTGTCCCCAGTTCCTTCACCTTTCCCCAGGCCCCACCCCTGTCCCCAGTCCCCTCACCTGTCCCCATGCCTCTCACCTGTCCCCAGTTCCCTCACCTGTCCCCAGTCCCCTCACCTGTCCCCAGGCCCCACCCTGAGCTCCTCCCCTGTCCCCAGTCCTGTCCCCAGGCCCTGCCCTCACCTGTCCCCACTCCCCTCAGCTGTGGCCATGCCTCTCACCTGTCCCCATGCCCTTCCACTGTCCCCAGTCCCCACTAAACTGTCCCCTCCCCTGTCCCCTGTCCCTGTCCCCGACCTGTTGACCAGGTCCTGCAGTTTCTGCATGGGCTCGGGCTCGCCGTCGCGCCCGCAGGTCAGGATCTCCCGCCCGTCGTACACGCGGATGATCCGGTCGGCCGTGTTGATCAGGAAGCAGCTGCAGCACAACGGGGGCAAATCCATGAAAAAACAATCAATCAATCAATCAATCAATCACAAATCCCAGAGCTGAGGGCTTTGAGGAGCTCCCCGCAGTCCCGGGATCCCCGCGGGGCGCTCACCTCCCTTTGCGGGCGAACTCGATGGATTTAATGGCCGTGGTGTTGCTGGTCCCTGTGGTCACTCTGAAGGAAGCAACAAGATCCTGAGTGTCTGTTTTTAAGACCAAGATCTGAAGATTGAGCAGACAGAGAACAATCAGTGGCTTCACCTGAAACAGAACCCTGGGAGCCCACCCGGGGACGCTGCGGGAGCTGCTGAGACAGAAACACCGGGAAAACGTCCCAAAAGTGTCAAAAAAAAAAATCAAAGATCCCAGAACCCCTGAGGTTGGAAAACCCCTCCAGGATCCTCACGAAATCCCTCACCTGTTCCCCGAACCCTGCAGCCATCTCTGCACCTGTCTCTGTTCCCTAAATCCATCTCTGCACCTGTCTCTGTTCCCTAAATCCATCCCTGCACCTGTCCCTATTCCCTAAATCCTTCCCTGTGCCTGTCCCTGTTCCCTAAATCCATCTCTGCACTTGTCCCTGTTCCCTAAATCCATCCCTGCGCCTGTCCCTGTTCCCTAAATCCATCCCTGTGCCCCTCATCTCTTCCCAATCCATCCCTATGCCTGTTACTCAAACCCATCCCTGTGCCCCTCACCTGTTCCCCAAAACCATTCCAGTTCCCAAACCCATCCCTGTGCCCCTCACCTGCCCTCCAAATCCATCCCTGTTCCCAAACCCAAACCTGTGACTGTCTCTGCTCCCCAAACCCACTCCTGTGCCCCAAACCTATCTCTGCTCCCCAAATCCATCCCTGTGCCCCTCACTTGCTCCCCAAATCCTGCAGCCATCCTTGTGCCTGTCCCCGTTCCCTGAACCCATCCCTGTGCCCCTAACCTGTTCCCTAAATCCACTCCTGCTCCCCAAACCCATTCCTGTGCCCCTCACTGTTCCCCAAACCCATCTCTGCTCCCCAAATCCATCCCTGTACCCCTCCCTGCTCCCCAAACCCATCCCTGCTCCCCAAATCCATCCCTGTGCCTGTCCCTGCTCCCCAAACCCCTCCCCGCGCCCCTCACCCACCGAGGTGCCCCAACCCCACCTCCAGGGACGGACACCCCAAACCCTCCTGGGGGCACTTCCAAAGCCTGACCCCCAATTTTCCATGGGGAATTCCCGGTGCTGCCCGGTGCCCCGGGAGGTTTTCCATGGGGAATTCCCAGTGCCCCGGGATGGGGTGGGGCTGACCTTGCCCTTGGCGTTCCCGGTGTAGATGTATTCCCCCCGGCGGTCAAACGAGGCCACCACGTTGAGGTCGGAGTCGTCGTCCACGGGCAGCACCACGTGCTTGGAGTCCGACAGGGTCAGCATCACCGGGGCCGACTTCATGGGACACACCAGCACCCTGTTCCTGCAAGGCCAGGGAGAGCTGGGAATTCCGGCCTTTGGGAAGGGCTCCCACGGCTAAAAACATCGGGGTGGATCGAGGGATTCAGGAAATTCAGGAGGTATTGGGAAGGGTTTCCATGGTTAGAGCTAAAGAACATTGAGGTAGATCGAGGAATTCAGACCTTGGGAAGGGTTTCCAAGAAAAAAAAAACATCAAGGTGGATCGAGGAGTTCAGGAGATCCTGAGAAGGGTTTCTCCATGGTTAGAGCTAAAAAAACATTGGGGTGGATCAAGGAAGTCAGGAAATTCAGGAGGTATTGGGAAGGGTTTCCATGATTAGAGCTAAAAAGCATCAAACTGGATCAAGGAATTTAGGAGATCTTGGCAAGCGTTTCCAGAAAAAAAAAACCACTGAGCTGGATCGAAGAGCTCAGGAGATCCCGGGAAGGGTTTCCATGGTTAGAGCTAAAAAACATCAGGGTGGATTAAGGAATTCAGGAGATCCTGGGAAGGGTTTCCAGGAAAACAAACCAATGAGGTGGATTGAGGAATTCAGAAGATCTTGGAAAAGGATTCCCAGCAAAAAAAAAAAACATTGAGCTGGATCAAGGAGTTCAGGAGATCTTGGGAAGGATTTCCAGCAAAAAAAAACCACTGAGGTGGATTAAGGAATTCAGGAGATCCTCCGAAGGGTTTCCAGCAAAAAAAACATTGAGGTAGATCAAGGAATACTGGAGATCCTGGGAAGGGTTTCCAGCAAAAAAAGCAACGAGGTGGATTGAGAAATTCAGGAGATCTTGGGAAGGGTTTCCAGCAAAAAAACAATGGAGGTGGATCAAGGAATTCAGGAGATCTCAGAAAAGGATTTCCATGTTTAGAGGTAAAAAAGCATCAATTGGATCAAGGAATATCTTGCAAAAGGATTTCCAGCAAAAAAAGCACGGATCTGGATTGAGGAACTCAGGATCTCTCGGAGAAGGATTTCAAGCAAAAAACGTGCCAAGCTGGATTGAGGAATGCAGGCTATTCCCATTTTTGTTGCCTTACCTTTAGCACTCAGACAACAAAACGACGTGAAGCTCAGGCCTGCTTTAATTTCTTTTCCACCTCCGAGTTTGTGCAGGAATTTCAAACCCAACCACACATTCCCACATCCTGACCCTCCCCAAAAACCCAACCCCAAAGATTCCAGTGGGAAACTGTGAGAGCCCTGGGACTGGTTTAGGGGTTTTGTGTGGTGGTAAAGTCTCTCCTCTAACCTGCGTTTCTAAAGAAAAATTCTGCAGCCTTTTGTTGGTTGGTCTCAAGGCAGTTTATTGCTAATTATCTAAAAGATTGTCGTTGTGGGCTGTGGCTGATTGTTCCGTGGCCCAGGTAGAGACACACACACACACTTTTGACACCCTCACTGTTTGTTGTTTTTGTCTTCTCTTTCTCTGCCTAGGGCTGCTGTTATTTTTTATATGATATATTATGTGTTATATATTTATAGTTTTTCTTTAATACTTACTACTTATGTTACACAGTGCTTTTCTACTCTAAACCAATCCACAAGCTCCAGCATCCTAAGAACATGGAGGTAAGGAAGGAGAAGGAGGAAGAACAGGATCAGCCCACTTTCCTCCATTTTAGAACTTCTGACCCCCTGTAGAAAGTAAAAACCCCCCTGTATAATACTAAAAAATGTTCTTCTCTATTTTGTAACTACTTCTATACTATCTAACCCTCTGTGACTGCTTGTTCCACCTTCAAAGCTGGTAACTCATTCCATGGCTTAAATTTAAACTCGTAGCTGTTTTTAGCTCCTTGCCAGGGTCTAAAATGCTTCTGACCAAAGCCTGGAACCTCTGAAAATATCTGAGGGACACTGTGAGTTCCAACAGGAGCCCCCAGGAAGCCCCAAAAGCAGCAGTTCCACCCCACTGGGAGCCCCCAGGGCACTTACTGGTCGCGGGGGTGGTACTGGACCTTGAGGATGGGCGAGGGGAAGCGGAAGCGCTGGTCGCAGTCCCCGGACAGAACGTCCCACTGCGACACGATGTTGTCCGTGGAGGCGCTGACCAGCTTGTGCCCGTCCCGGCTCCAGCTGCGGCACAGGGAGGGAATTCCCAAAAAATGGTCAGGGGAGGGGAAAGGAGCTCAGGGAATTCCCAAAAATGTCATTCCTTAAGGGTCAGGGGGAAAGGACTTGGAATTGACAAAGAAGTTGTTCCTTACAGGAGTCAAAACGCAGCCAGGGGAAAAGGAGCTCAGGGAATTCTCAAAGTTATTCCTTAAAGGGGGGAAAAGGAGCTCAGGGAATTCCCAAAAATGTCATTCCTTAAGGGTCAGGGGGAAAGGACTTGGAAATGACAAAGAAGTTATTCCTTACTGGAATCAAACACATCCAGGGGAAAAGGAGCTCAGGGAATTCCCAAAAACGTTATTCTTTAAAGGGGGAAAAAGGAGATCAGGGAATTCCCAAAAACGTTATTCCTTCAAGGTCAGGGGGAAAAATGGAGCTCAGGGAATTCCCAATAAAGCTATTCCTTACTGGAATCAAACACATCCAGGGGAAAAGGAGCTCAGGGAATTCTCAAAGAAGTTATTCCTTAAAGCGGGAAAAAGGAGCTCAGGGAATTCCCAAAAATGTCATTCCTTAAGGGTCAGGGCAGGGGAAAGGAGCCCAGGGAATTCCCAATAAAGCTATTCCTTACTGGAATCAAACATATCCAGGGGAAAAGGAGTTCAAGAATTTCCCAATAAAGGGGTCAAATCCAGCCAGGGGGAAAAGGAGCTGGGGATTCCTTGGGGGCTCCATGGGGGATTCCATAGGGATTCCCTGGGGATCCCTGAGGGACTCCACAGGGATTCCTTGGGGGATTCCACGGGGACTCCTGCAGCTCCTGAGGGATTTGGATTCCCAAGGGATTCTGTGAGGATTCCATAGGGATTCTGGAGTGATTCCATGGGCATTCCCAGAGTATTCCATGGGAATTCCTGGGGGATTCCATAGGGATTCTGGAAGGATTCCCTGGAGGATTCCCAAGGGGTTTTGTGGGGATTCCCTGGGGATTCCCAAGGGATTCTGTGGGGATTCCCTGGGGTTTCCAGAGGAACTCCATGGGGACTCCTGCACTTCCTGAGGGATTTGGATTCGAAAGAGATTCTGTGGGGATTCCATGGGCATTCCCAGGGGATTCCATGGAAATTCCTGGGGGATTCCATAGGGATTCTGGAGGGATTCCCTCAGGATTCCTTGGAGGATTCCATGGGGACTCCTGCCATTCCCAAGAGATTCCATGGGAATTCCACAGGCATTCCAGAGGGATTCCCTGGGGATTCCCAAGGGATTCTGTGGGGATTCCCAAGGGATTCTGTGGGGATTCCCTGGGGATTCCAGAGGGACTCCATGGGGATTCCATGCGGACTCCTGCACTTCCTGAGGGATTTGGATTCGAAAGAGATTCTGTGGGGATTCCATGGGCATTCCCAGGGGATTCCTTGGGGGATTCCTTGGGGGACTCCAGCAGTTCCCAAGGGATTGGGATTCCCAAGAGATTCTGTGGGAGTTCCCCGGGGATCGCACAGCAATTCCCTGGGGATTCCTGGGGCGTTCCCGGTGCATTCCCTGGGCATTCCCGGTGCATTCCCGGTGCATTCCCGGGGCATTCCCGGGGCATTCCCTGGGCATTCCCGGTGCATTCCCGGTGCATTCCCGGTGCATTCCCGGGGCATTCCCGGGGCATTCCCTGGGCATTCCCGGTGCATTCCCGGTGCATTCCCGGTGCATTCCCGGGGCATTCCCGGGGCATTCCCGGGGCATTCCCGGTGCATTCCCGGTGCATTCCCGGGGCATTCCCGGGGCATTCCCGGGGCATTCCCTGGGCATTCCCGGTGCATTCCCGGTGCATTCCCGGGGCATTCCCGGGGCATTCCCGGGGCATTCCCGGTGCATTCCCGGTGCATTCCCGGGGCATTCCCGGTGCATTCCCGGGGCATTCCTGGGGCATTCCCGGTGCATTCCCGGGGCATTCCCGGGGCATTCCCGGTGCATTCCCTGGGGCGTTCCCGGGGCATTCCCGGTGCATTCCCGGGGCATTCCCGGGGCATTCCCGGGGCATTCCCGGCTCACCAGAGGGAGCAGACGGGGTGGATGTGGGCGCTGATGATCTTGGCGATGCCGCGGGTCAGGAAGTCCCAGATGACGATGCGGCCGTCGTTGCAGCCCACGGCCAGCAGCGTGCCCCAGCGGTTGAAGGTGCACGTCAGCGCCATGCTGATGCAGTCCAGCGTGCCGTCCGCCTCCTGCGGGGACAACATGGGGACAGTGGGGACAGTGTGGGGACAGCGCAGGGAAAGCGGGGACAGAGCGGGGACGGGGGGGACAGCGGGGACAGCATGGAGACAGGGTGGGGACATGGTAGAGACAGCGCAGGGAAAGCGGGGACAGGGTGGGGACAGTGGGGACAGGCCCAGGACAGGCCCAGGACAGCACGGGGACAGTGGGGACAGCATGGGGCAGGGTGGGGACAGTGGGGACAGTGGGGACAGCAGGGGACATGGTAGAGACAGCACAGGGAAAGCGGGGACAGGGTGGGGACAGACTGGGGACAGTGGGGACAACATGGGGACAGGGTGGGGACAGGGTTGGGACAGGCCCGGGACAGCGGGGGGACAGTGGGGACAGCGCAGGGACATGGCAGAGACAGCGCAGGGAAAGCGGGGACAGAGTGGGGACAGTGGGGACAGCATGGGGACAGGGTGGGGACAGTGGGGACAGCGGGGGAACAGGGTGGGAACAGGGTGGGGACAGGCCCGGGACAGCGGGGGGACAGCGTGGGGACAGGGTGGGGACAGTGGGGACAGCATGGGGACAGTGGGGACAGTGTGTGGACAGTGGGGACAGCAGGGTCATGGTAGGGACAGAGCGGGGACAGTGCGGGGACACAGTGGGGAGAGCAGGGGAACAGGGTGGGGACAGAGTGGGGACAGGGCAGGGACAGTGGGGACAGCATGGGGACAGCCCCGGGACAGGGGGGGGGACAGCGTGGGGACAGCGGGGTCATGGTAGGGACAGTGTGGGGACACAGTGGGGAGAGCAGGGGAACAGGGTGGGGACAGTGGGGACAGCGCAGGGACAGCGGGGGAACAGAGTGGGGATGGCAGGAGAGAATGGGGGACAGCATGGGGACATTGTGGGGACAACGGGGGGACAGCGCAGGGACAGCGGGAGGACAGTGGGGACATGGTAGGGACAGAGCAGGGGCAGTGGGGGGACACAATGCGGAGAGCAGGGGGACAGCGTGGGGACAGTGTGGGCAGAGTGGGGGACAGTGTGGGGACCGGGCAGGGACAGTGGGGACAGTGTGGGAAGAGAGGGGGACAGCGGGGACAGAGCGGGGAGAGCACAGGGACAGTGCAGGGACAGTGGGGACATTGTGGGGACAGGGCAGGGACAGTGTGGGGACAGTGTCCGCCCAGACCCGGTGAGACCCAGCCAGCCCCGCCCGGGCTCAGTGGGTCCCGCCCGGTGCCGCCGTTACCTCGGGGTAGTTCTGCCCGAAGGACTCTGCGGAGGAACGAACGGAGCGGCGCTCAGCGGGAGCGGCCCCGCCGGTACCGGCCCAGCCCCGCTCCTCCTCATTCCCTCCCCATTCCCGCTCCGCTCGCACCGGGCAGATCCCGCTTGGAGCTCCCACCCCTCGGCCGCCCGCCGGGCCCGCAGTGCCCGCTCCGCTTCCCGGAGTTCCCGTTCCCGCTCCCGTTCCCATTCCCATTCCCGGTCCCGTTCCTGTTCCCGACCGCTTCTCATGCCCGCTCCGGTTCCCATTCCCGTTCCCTTTCCCACCGAGCAGCTCCAGGTTCATCGCTCCCGCTCCCATTCCCCATTCCCATTCCCGGTTCCCATTCCCGTTGTTCCCATTTCCCACCGAGCAGCTCGAGGTTCATCGCGCCCATTCCCGTTCCCATTCCCGGTTCCCATTCCCATTCCCGTTCCCCATTCCCGGTTCCCGTTCCCGTTTCTCACCGAGCAGCTCGAGGTTCATCGCGCCCATTCCCGGTTCCCATTCCCATTCCCGTTCCCCATTCCCGTAGTTCCCCGTTCCATTTCCCACCGAGCAGCTCCAGGTTCATCGCGCCCATTCCCGTTCCCCATTCCCGGTCCCCATTCCCGGTTCCCATTCCCGGTTCCCATTCCCGGTTCCCATTCCCATTCCCATTCCCGGTTCCCGTTCCCCGTTCCCATTCCCGTTGTTCCCGTTCCCCACCGAGCAGCTCGAGGTTCATCGCGCCGCCGCCGCCGCCGCTCGCGCTCCCTCCGCTCCCGTCGCCGAAGGACCCCGCGGGGTCCTGCCCGGCGCCGCCCCCGCCGTTCGCCTGACCACCCGCCGCTCCTTTCCTCCGCCCCCGCCGCGGCTCTCGGTGCCCCCCGGGCCGGCTCCGCGCGCCCCTCCCGGCGGGCTCGGGCAGCGGCGCCGCTCGCTCCCGGCGCGGCGGCGGGGCCGGGAACGGGAACGGTTGGCGGCGATCAGGCAGCGCGGCGGGCAGCCCCGGCGCGGCGTGCGGAAGGGGCCGGGCGGGCCCCGCGGCCGCGCAGGAACGTTCCGGGAAGGGGGAGCGGTAATAAAGTAGCACTAATAATTAAATTAATTAAAATAAATCTTATTCTAATAATTAACTAAAATACCAGGGGGAGCTGGGCCCTTGCCGGTGTCGCCTGGATTTCTACTGGAAAGGAATGGCTGGTTTTAGAAAAAGGGAAAGAAAAAATAAAATAAAAGGAAAGGAAATTAATTAAATTAAATTTTAAAAATTATAAAGCAAAATATAAAACATAAAATACTAAAAGATATATAACTAAGTATTTTTTTAAAAATTTAAATTTTAAATTAAATAATAAAAAAATTAATATATTAAAATAGATTAAAAATAAAGAATAAAGTAAAATTAAAATAAAATAAAGTAAAATAAAATAAAGTAAAATAAAATAAAATAAAATAAAATAAAATAAAATAAAATAAAATAAAATAAACCCAACCTCGATATGAAGGATAAAAAGCTGTGGAATTTCCCAACACCAACTCCAGGCAGGCAGAGAAAATAAACTTGGGACATGCTGGAGATTCCCAAATTCCAGCCCCAAATTCCCCAGGGAAATTCCCAAAATCCCCCCAGGGAAATTCCCAAAATCCCCCCAGGGAAATTCCCAAAATCCCCCAGGGAATTGTGAGGAACCGCTCGGGATCCGAGCTCGGGCCTCACTCCCCAGCAGCGTTCCCGCTCCTCCCGGGGCCATTCCCACTTTTCCAGAGGCTTTTCCTCAAAACCATTCCCACTTTTCCAGAGGTTTTTCCTCAGGATCATTCCCATTTTCCAGAGGTGTTTCCTCAGAGGCATTCCCGCTTTTCCAGAGATTTTTCCCAAGGTCATTCCCACTTTTCCAGAGGTTTTTCCTCAAAACCACTCCTGCTTTTCCAGAGGATTTCTCTAAGGGCCATTCCCACTTTTCCAGAGGTTTTTCCTGAGGGTCATTCCCATCTTCCAGAGGATCTACACAAATCCACTCTGGGAATGGCAGAGCAGGGATTGGATCCATAAAAAAAAAAACCACTCTGGAATTCCAACACAGGGATTAGATCCCTAAAAAACTCACTCTGAAAATGGGAAGAAAAGTTGGATCCACCCAAATCCATTCTGGGAATTCCAACACAGGGATTAGATCCATAAAATCCCACTCTGGGAATGCCAGAACAGAGGTTGGATCCATAAAAAACCCACTCTGGAAAAGTTGGATCCTTCTAAATCCATCCTGGGAATGCCAACACAGCGATTGGATCCATTAAAAACCCCTCTGGAATTCCAACACAGGGATTATATCCATAAAAACCCATCCTGGGAATGCCAGAACAGAGGTTGGATCCATAAAAACCCCTCTGGAATGGCAGGAAAAGTTGGAACCACCCAAATCCATTTTGGGAATGCCAAAACAGGGGCTGGATCCATTAAAAAAAATCCTCTGGAATGGCAGGAGAGGATGGATCCATCCAAATCCACTCTGGGAAAGGCAGAGCAGGGATTTGATCCATAAAAACTCACTCTGGAATTCCAACACAGGGATTGGATCCATAAAAACCCACCCTGGAATGGCAGGAGAGGTTGGATCCATCCAAATCCATTTTGGGAATGCCAAAACAGGGATTGGATCCATAAAAACCCCTCTGGAATTCCAAAACAGGGATTATATCCATAAAAATCCATCCTGGGAATGCCAGAGAAGGGATTGGATCCATAAAAACCTCTCTGGAATGGCAGGAAAAGTTGGAACCACCCAAATCCATTTTGGGAATGCCAAAACAGGGGCTGGATCCATAAAAAAAAAATCCTCTGGAATGGCAGGAGAGGATGGATCCATCCAAATCCACTCTGGGAAAGGCAGAGCAGGGATTTGATCCATAAAAACTCACTCTGGAATTCCAAAACAGGGATTGGATCCATAAAAACCCACCCTGGAATGGCAGGAAAAGTTGGATCCATCCAAATCCATTTTGGGAATGCCAGAGCAGGGATTGGATCCATAAAAACCCCTCTGGAATTCCAACACAGGGATTGGATCCATAAAAAAACTCACTCTGGAAATGGCAGGAAAAGTTGGATCCATCCAAATCCATTTTGGGAATTCCAACACAGGGATTGGATCCATAAAAAAAACCCTCTGGAATGGCAGGAAAAGTTGGATCCATCCCACCAGGAATTCCAGCACATCTCCCACGGGTGCAGGGAAGGAACAATAAAAAAAAAATCATTTTTTTTTCCTCCATAAAAAGCTCCTGAATCCATTTTATTGCACAAAGAAAGGAAAAGATTCCCAACGAAATCCGTCCTCGGCCACGGGCAGCTGGAATTGCAGCCAAGGAATTCCACCTTCCCTGGGAATTCCAGGGGGAATTCCCAACTCCTCAGCTCCTCATGGAGCCACCAATCCTGCTCCAGACCAGCCCAATTCCACCCCAAAAATGCAGGAAGCAAACTGGGATTTCCAGGAATTTGGGAAAACAACCTTGCCCAGGATCCCCCTCTTCCCTACCCCCATTTTTATTTTTATTTTTTTAATTTATTTTATTCTTTCCAACCAAATTCCAGCCCTGGAGTGAAAGTGAGGGGAAGAAGGAAGGATCTTTCTTCCCATCCAACTTGGGACAAAAAAAGCTGGAAAATCCTCGTTTTTTTAAAACATTCCCGTGCAAGTTAAAACCGCCACGACAATCCCATGAATTCCAAAGCCCAAATCCTCATTTCGAAGGAATTTTGGCACTTTTCCCCACGGGAAAATCAGTATTTTTAAGGAGTTTTTGTGCTGCTGCGAAGCGGATCCTCTGAGGAACGCGGTGTGGAAGACAGGGAAGGTTTTCCAGCCGTTCCAAGAAATTGCAGGAAGCAAAGGAGAAGGGAAAAAAAGAGGGAAAAGTGGGATTTGGGATCAATAGCTTATCCAGGTGGGGTTTTCCAAGTCCCCGTAGGAAAAACACGGAAGCTTTGCTCCTGTCCATGTAAACATTTCCAGCTCCTTGGAGCTTCCCAACATTTCCTTATCCCAAAGTTTTGTGCCTTTTCCTTCCTCTCCCAGCGCTCTGGAATTGCTGCCGAGGGCAGAGGGAGGAGCGGGATGGTTCTCCCGGGGTTTTGGGAAGGGATTTTCCCATCCCAAAAATCCCTCCCAAGGCTGGGATTGGGATTGGCAAAGTCCCTCCCGAAGGGTTTGGGATTTCCAGCCCTCGGCCACACGGTTCCATAGGGAACACGGGGTGGGAATGGGATGGAGCTGTCAGCCCCTGTCCCAAATAATTCCATGGGATAACAGGGTGGGATTGGGATGGAGCTGCCAGCCCCTGTCTGACAGAATTCCATAGGGATTGGGATGGAGCTGCCAGCCCCTGTCCCAGATAATTCCATGGGATAACGGGGTGGGATTGGGATGGAGCTGCCACCCCTCTGTGCCACACAATTCCATAGGGATTGGGATGGAGCTGTCACCCCCTGTCCCAGATAATTCCATGGGATAACAGGGTGGGACTGGGATGGAGCTGTCACCCCTCAGAGCTCACCCCTGTCCCAAATAATTCCATAGGGATAACAGGATGGGATTGGGATGGAGCTTCCCACCCCTGTCCCACACAATTCCATAGGGATAATGGGGTGGAATTAGGATGGAGACGCCACTCCCCGGTCCCACACAATTCCATAGGGATAACAGGGTGGAACTGGGATGCAGCTGCCACCCCCTGAGCCCCCTCTGTCCCAAACAATTCCATGGGATAACAGGGTGGGATTGGGATGGAGCTGTCACCTCCCTGTCCCACACAATTCCATAGGGATTGGGATGGAGCTGTCACCCCCTGTTCCACGCAATTCCATAGGGATAACAGGGTGGAACTGGGATGCAGCTGTCACCCCTCAGAGCTCACCCCTGTCCCAAACAATTCCATGGGATAACAGGGTGGGATTGGGATGGAGCTGTCACCTCCCTGTCCCACACAATTCCATAGGGATTGGGATGGAGCTATCACCTCCCTGTCCCATGCAATTCCATAGGGATAACGGGGTGGAATTAGGATGGAGATGCCACTCCCCTGTCCCAAACAATTCCATAGGGATTGGGATGGAGCTGCCGCCCCTGGGAGCTCCTCCCTGTCCCCCCTCGGGGCTGGCTCGCAGCAGAGGCGGGGCTGGAATTCCCCAAAATCCCGCCCGCAATTCCCGAATCCAGGCGCGCTTCCCGCTCAGGTGGAGTCATCCAGGCCTTTGGTGGGATGCTCGGAGCCGGGCCGGCAGAGCCTGTCCATGATTCCCTGGAGCATGGGCTGCACGATTCCCAGGAGAGGCCGCTGGGACGAGTCCCCGGCCCAGCACGCTTCCATCAGCTGCCAGCATTCCTCGTCAAACACCGGGAGCCGCTCCGGCCGCACCCCTGCCAACACACCGGGAATGCCTGGAATTCCCAGGGAATGCCCTGCCCGCTGCTCACGTCCAGGGAAATCCGCTGGCACAGTGGGATCACCGGGAATTCCCAGGGAAAGCCCTGCCCAGTGCTCAAATCCAAGGAAATCAGGTGGAGGGGTTGGGTGGCACAGTGGGATAACCAGGAATTCCCAGGGAATGCCCTGCCCCCTGCTCACATCCAAGGAAATCAGGTGGAGGGGTTGAGTGGCAGTGGGATTTCCAGGAATTCCCAGGGAAAAGCCCTGTCCCATGCTCAAATCCAGGGAAAGCAGGTGATTGGCACAGTGGGATCACCAGGAATTTCCAGGGAAAGCCCTGCCTCATGCTCACATCCAGGGAAAGCAGGTTGAGTGGCAGTGGGATCACCAGGAATTTCCAGGGAAAGCCCTGCTCACATCCAATGAAAGCAGGTGGAGGGGTTGAGTGGCACAGTGGGATCATCAGGAATTTCCAGGAATTTCCAGGGAAAGCCCTGCCCCATGCTCAAATCCAGGGAAAGCAGGTGGGTGGCACAGTGGGATCACCAGGAATTCCCAGGGAAAGCCCTGCTCACATCCAAGGAAATCAGGTGGGTAGCACAGCAGGATCACCAGGAATTTTCAGGGAAAACCCTGCTCACATCGAGGGAAAGCAGGTGGAAGGGTTGAGTGGCACAGTGGGATCACCAGGAATTTCCAGGAATTTCCAGGGAAAGCCCTGCCCAGTCCTCACATCCAAGGAAATCAGGTGGAGTGGGTGGGTGGCACAGTGGGATCATCAGGAATTTCCAGGGAAATCCCAGGGAAAGCCCTGCCCAGTGCTCACATCCAGGGAATTCAGGTGACACATCAGGATCACCAGCAATTTCCAAGGAAAGCCCTGCTCACATCCAATGAAAGCAGGTGGAGGGGTTGAGTGGCACAGTGGGATCACTGAGAATTTCCAGGAATTTCCAGGGAAAGCCCTGCCCCATGCTCACATCCAGGGAAAGCAGGTGGGTGGCACAGCGGGATCACCAGGTTGTGCTGAGCATTCCCTGTGCTGCTGGGAAGGAGCTGATCCCAAAAAAAGCTCTTTTATCCTGGGAAATTTAGCTCAACTCCCAGCAGAACCTGCCCAGGCTGGAGCAGTGAATGTCCCTCTAAAGATTGGATCAAAAATTCCAGGAGCAGCAGGAGCAGGACAGGGATTGTCCCATCAGACTGGGGAGGAGCCTCGATCCCTGTGTCCAGTTCAGGGAGGAGAGTTTGGGGCTGGAGCGTGTCCAGGGAAGGGAAGGGAGCTGGGAAGGGTTTGGAGAATCCTGAGGGAGCTGGGAAGGGTTTGGAGAGTCCTGAGGGAGCTGCAAAAGGGTTGGGAGAATCCTGAGGGAGCTGGGAAGGGGCTGGAGAATTCCTGAAGGAGCTGGGAAGGGTTTGGGGAGTCCTGAGGGATCTGGGAAGGGTTTGGGGAGTCCTGAGGGAGCTGGGAAGGGTTTGGAGAGCCCTGAGGGAGCTGGGAAGGGTTTGGAGAATCCTGAGGGAGCTGGGAAGGGTTTGGAGAATCCTGAGGGAGCTGGGAAGGGTTTGGGGAGTCCTGAGGGAGCTGGGAAGGGTTTGGGGAGCCCTGAGGGAGCTGGGAAGGGTTTGGAGAGCCCTGAGGGAGCTGGGAAGGGTTTGGGGAGCCCTGAGGGAGCTGAGGGGGCTCAGCCTGGAGCAAAGGAGGCTCAGGGGGAATTTCTGGCTCTGCACAACTCCCTGACAGGAGGGGACAGCCGGGGGGGATTTGGGATCTCATCCCAGGGAACAGGGACAGGAGGAGAGGGAATGGCCTCAGGCTGTGCTGGGGAGGCTCAGGAATCAGGAACCAGCAGGAATTTCCTCATGGGAAGGGCTGGAAGGGGCTGCCAGGGGGGTTTGGAGTGCCCATCCCTGGAGGTGGCACCTGGAGGTGGCACTGAGTGCTCAGGGTGGGGATCGGGCACAGCCTGGACTCGATGATCCCAGAAATCTTTTCCAGCTTCAGGGATTCTGGGATTTTTACACCTTTCACCTCTCCACCACCAGAATAAATCTGGATTTTCCCACCCCCTCTGGGGTTTCAGAGCTGAGCCAAGCCCGGGTACCTCTCCTGACGTTGTTCCACAGGTGATCTTTGCTCGCACACCTCTCAAAGGCCTCGGGTAACTTCACGTGGCCCGAGCAGAGGTACCAGAAGAGGATCCCAAAGGCATAAACATCCACGGAATTGTCGTATTTCCCTGGGAAAAAAACACCTGGGATCAGCAGGGAAAAATCACCAGGAGCTGGGCAGGCTGAGAGGTGATTGCAGGGTTCCGTTTCCCCAAATTTAATCCTCAATTTCGTAGCAGGGAGGCAAAACCTGTGTGAAATCCAGGAAGGCAGCAGGAGCTGGGATCAAGGTTAGGCTTTTCCAATTCCCAGGATTTATAAATTTAAGCTGTACCAGGAATTCCCAAACAGAGCTCAGGTGTATTTCAAACACAGAGGCAAACATCAGCCTCTCATCCCAGAAATATCCCAGATATCCCTTAAATCCACACCAACAGGGATGCTTCCATCCCATCCCAGCCTTATCCAAGCAGGGCAGCTCTGACAGACCAAAAGTGTTGGGGAAAGTGGGATTGGAACTTCCAAGTGGTTCCAAAACTCAGGAAAAAACCCAGGAGCAGCTGCCAGAATTCCCAGAGAATCCAAACTCACTCCAAGCTTGGAAATTCCTTTCAGGGAATCCTCCCTGGAGTATCTCCCTGTGAAAACACAAGGATCTCCAGCTTCTTCCTAATGATAATTTACCTTTCTAATTGCAAGGGTGTTAATTACCATAGCAGAGCTGATGCAAGCCCATTATCCTCTGTCAAGAGCAGCACTTAAAACACAGGAAAAATTCAGAGTATGCATGGAAAACAGGGAATTTCCTGGGGTTGGAATGGCCTGAGGAGCAGCTGGGAGATGAATTCCAAGGAATTGGATTGAGGATTCCAGGCAGAGTGGGAATTCAGGGGATCCTACCTGTGAAGAGCTCGGGAGCCATGTGGATGGGGGTGCCCACGATGCTGCCGGACATCATCGCCTCGGGTTTGCAGAACCCCAAATCCGTGATTTTGGCCCGATTCTTTTTGTCCAGCTGGGGGAAAAAGCCACAGGCAGGCAGGTGAGAACTTCATTTCTCCCATAAAATATTGATTTTTGGTATTGTGCTGGTTTTGCAATTAAAAATATAATTTTAATACATCTTTTTTTTCCCACAGCAGTCCCATCCCATTTTTTTTTTTTGTCCATAAACCCCTGGCCAGCAATAAATGGTGTGTCACCTGAGAGGGGTTCCCTTTGCCCCAGACTTCCAGCCAGGAAAGGAGGCAGCAAAACCTCCCTGTGGCTTCAAATAGGTGGAGAAATTTATTCCCTAATTTAAAGATTCTTTTTTTTCCCACAAAAAAATGCTCTGGGATTGTTAGTGTTCAGGCAAATCACAGGATATGATTATCTGCAGGTGCTTTTATTGAGAGCTCTGGGAATCAGGGGTGCAGACCCAAATCTGACTCTGACACAGCTCTCGAGCTGAACGTGTTTTATATCCTATCCTTATATAACTTACATATTAATTATTCAACTTATATGTTCTATTCTATACATTGACTTAAGTCAAGCATGAGTTTCTCATGATCTTTCTTTGACCACAGTTTCTCATTATCATTCTTACCATTAAACAGCAATTATATTTAATTACTAACCAATCATTACATCTAACAATTATATCATTTATCATGTACCGGCTACACAGGTGCAGTTCTAGCACCTGATAAATGATGTATATATGAATGATATATAAATTATATATATAAATGGTATATATAAATGATATATAAATTTATATATAAATTATATATAAATTAAATACCGTAGGCCTACAAGTACCTAGGGTATTTTTTTTTTTTTCAGGGCCTACTAAGCTTAATTTTCCTTTTAACCCTAAATCCCCATGATTTTAAACCCCTTTTACTATCAGGATGAGGCAGAGGTGGGGATTTTTCCTTACCAGGACGTTTTTGAGTTTGATATCCCTGTGCACCAAGCCCTGGCTGTGCAGGTACCGGATCCCTTCCACCACATCCAACGCAATCTGCAGCCGTGGCTCCAATTCCAGCCCAGCCTGAGGGGATAAACATCATTTTAGTCCTCAAAGTTGCTTTGGTCTGCTCTTCTTTGCCAAAACACTTGAAAAATTGAGTCATTCCAACTTTGTTTTTCAGATTAATGGGGAAATTTTAATTAGAGAATCAGTTTTGGGTTGGAAGGGAGATTAAAACTCATGCCATAGGCAGGGACACTTCTCACAAAACCAGGTTTAGTCTGAGGGGAAAAAACATGGATTTTATTCCTAAAAGTTGCTTTGGCTTGCTCTTCTTTACCAAAATTGAGTCATTCCAACTTTGTTTTACAGATTAATGGGGAATTTTTAATTAGAGAATCAGTTTTGGGTTGGAAGGGAGAGAAAAACTCATCCCATGGGGAGCGACACTTCCCACTAAACCAGGTTTAGTCTGAGGGGAGAAACACAGATTTTAGGCGTAAAAGTTACTTTGGCCTGCTCTTCTTTACCAAAATTTGCGTAATTCCAGCTTTGTTTTACAGATTTATGGGAATTTATTTAATTAGAGAATCACAGGTTTGGGTTGGAAGGGAGATTAAAACTCATGCCATGGGCAGGGACACTTCTCACTGAACAAGATTTAGTCTGAGGGGAAAAACACGGATTTTATTCCTAAAAGTTGCTTTGGCCTGCTCTCTCTTACCAAAACACTGAAAATTGAATAATTCCAGCTTTGTTTTACAGATGAATGGGGGATTTTTAATTAGAGAATCAGTTTTGGGTTGGAAGGGAGAGGAAGACTCACCCCAAGGGTAGGGGGACATTTCCCACTAAACCAGGTTTAGTCTGAGGGGAAAAACATGGATTTTATTCCTAAAAGTTGCTTTGGCTTGCTCTTCTTTACCAAAATTGAGTCATTCCAACTTTGTTTTACAGATTAATGGGGAATTTTTAATTAGAGAATCAGTTTTGGGTTGGGAGATCAAAACTCATCCCATGGGCAGGGACACTTCCCACTAAAACAGGTTTAGTCTGAGGGGAAAAACATGGATTTTATGCCTTAAAGTTACTTTGGCTTGATGTTCTTTACTAAAATTGAATAATTCCAGCTTTGTTTTACAGATTAATGGGGAATTTTTAATTAGAGAATCAGTTTTCGGTTGGAAGGGAGAGAAAAACTGATCCCATGGGGAGCGACACTTCCCACTAAACCAGGTTTAGTCTGAGGGGAGAAACACAGATTTTAAGCGTAAAAGTTACTTTGGCCTGCTCTTCTTTACCAAAAATTGCGTAATTCCAGCTTTGTTTTACAGATTTATGGGAATTTATTTAATTAGAGAATCACAGGTTTGGGTTGGAAGGGAGATTAAAACTCATCCCATGGGCAGGGACACTTCTCACTGAACAAGATTTAGTCTGAGGGGAAAAACACGGATTTTATGCCTAAAAGTTGCTTTGGCCTGCTCTCCTTTACCAAAACACTGAAAATTGAATAATTCCAGCTTTGTTTTACAGATTAATGGGGATTTTTAATTAGAGAATCACAGGTTTGGGTTGGAAGGAAGATTAAAACTCATCCCATGGGCAGGGACATTTCCCACTAAAACAGGTTTAGTCTGAGGGGAAAAACACAGATTTTATGCCTAAAAGACGTTTTGGCTTGCTCTTTTTTGCCAAAATTGAGTCATTCCAGCTTTGTTTTATGAATTAATGGTGATTTTTTAAAATTAGGGAATCAGTTTTGGGTTGGAAAGGAGATTAAAACTCATCCCATGGGCAAGGGGATACTTGCCACTAAACCTGGTTGCTCCAAGCTCTGTCCCAGCCCTTCCAGGGATAAAATAAAAATAAAATAAATATTGAATAAGAGAATTTGGCACCTTCAGCCCCGTGTACAGGTCCCTGTGCAGCCTCTCCATGATCAGCAGCACAGCAATGCTGGAGCCTCCTCCATAGCCATAATCAATAACGGAGCCATGCAGGTGTACCAGCCTCTCGTGGGACTGCAGGGACCTGCAGAGGGGTCAGCACACAAAATTGGGGTCATTTTTATCCCATCTTCCTGCCCAGGCCAAGGGAAGAAGCCTCAAAATCTCTGCAGAAGGCTCAGCAGAGAAAATTGGAGTCATTTTTATCCTGAACTCCAGACCAAGCCAAGGGAAAAAGCCCCAAAATCTCTGCAGAAGGCTCAGCACAGAAAATTTGTGTCATTTTTATCCTGTTCTCCAGCCCAGGCCAAGGGAAGAAGCCCCAGAGTCCCTGCAGGGACCTGCAGAAGGTTCAGCACAAAAAAATGGGACAATTTTTGCCCTGAGTCCTTGAAGGGACCAGGAGCAGATTCAGCAAAAAAAAATGAGTCATTTTTGGCCCTGTTCTCCAGCCCAGGCCACGGGAAGAAGCCCCAAAATATCTGCAGAATGTTCAGCACAGAAAATATTTGGTCATTTTTATCCTGTTCTCCAGCCCAGGCCAAGGGAATCCCTGAAGAGACCTGGAGCAGGTTCAGCATAAAAAATTGGGATAATTTTTGTCCCCTGAGTCCCTGCAGGGACGTGGAGCAGATTCAGCACAGAAAATTTGAGTAAATTTTGTCCCAGGCCAAGGGAAGAAACCCCAGAGCTGCAGATTTAGAAAAACTCCCAGCACGGCTCAGAGCAGCACAGCCCTCAGCTGTCTGAGCCAATGAAACTCAAAAGAAAAAAGCCTTTTTAAAGGTTAGAGTGACAAAAAAAACCCCATTCTTCTCTCAGCTGTTCACTGCAAACCAGCTGCTCCCTGCACTGCACAGCCATCCTTGGCTTTTTTGGGAATTCAGGCAGGATGAGGAGTGGGAAAAGAGAGAGGATTCACCACCAGGAATCAGGGGAGGAGAATTGCTGGTTATTATGGGCTGTAAACTCGAATTTCCTCTGAATTTGGACAGCACAGGCAGCAGAGAATCCCATGAAGGCAGGAAGGAGCATCCCTGGCTGAGCATTCCAGGAGCTCCAATCCCGGATTCCTGCAGCAAACGTGGGTGTGGTGCTCCGAGGGGTGACAAAGGGGACATCAGCCACAGGCTGGGGGCTCTTCCAGCCTGAAAAACCCTGGGAAATCAGTCAGGTCCTTGTGGATTGGGGAAAGAACTCGGGATACAGACCTCATGTAGTGAAATTCCAGTGCCAGGTCGTTCCAGTGCTTCTCATCCGGAGGGACGACGGATTTGAGGGCGCAGGGGAAGTGTCCCCCCCAGCTGTCACACAGGTACACCACCCCGTACTGGCCTCGGCCCAGCTCCCTGCCCAGCTTGGGCTTCCCTGCAAGCACCAGTCCCAAAAATCAGCCCCAATCCAAGGCATAAATCCCCAAAATCAGCCCCAATCCAAGGCACAAATCTCTGATTGCAATCCCTGCAATCAGCCCCCAGTCCATGGCACAAATCCCAAAAAACAGCCCCCAATCCCTGCAAACAGCCCCAATCCAAGGCATAAATCCCCAAAAACAGCCCAAATCCAAGGTGACCAATCCCAAAACTCAGCCCCAATCCAAGGCATAAAAGCCCAAATCCAAGGTGACCAATCCCAAAAATCAGCCCCAATCCAAGGTACCAATCCCAAAAATCAGCCCCAATCCAAGGCACAAATCTCTGATTGCAATCCCTGCAATCAGCCCCCAGTCAAAGGCACAAATCCCTGGAATCAGCCCCAATCCAAGGCACAAATCCCAAAAAACAGCCCCCAATCCCTGCAATCCGCCCCACACCCAAGGCACCAATCCCAAAAATCAGCCCCAATCAAAGGCACCAATCCCTGGAATCAGCCCAAATCCACGGCACAAATCCCAAGAACCAGCCCCCAGTCCCTGCAAACAGCCCTAATCCAAGGTGGCAGATCCCAAAAAACAGCCCCATTCCAAGGCACAATCCCTGCAATCAGCCCCAATCCATGTTTTCCCCTGCTGCACATTCCCAGCTGTGAGGTAGTTGGGAGGTGCCAATTGAAACCTAGCTGGAAAATGGTGTGAAAATCCAAACTGGATTTCCTGGAAAACGGATGAAAATCCAAATTCCTTCCCACCCGCCCCCACTGCTACCTGGGGAGGAGGGGGAGAAGGAATCCACTGTCAGCATGATCCCGCTCCTAGCAGGATCCCATTCCCAGCAGGAATCACTCCCAGCAGGATCCTGCTCCCAGCAGGAACCCATTCCCAGCAGGATCCCATTCCCGTTGGGATCCCCTCCCAGCAGGAATCACTCCCAGCAGGAACCCATTCCAAGCAGGATCCCATTCCCATTGGGATCCCCTTCCAGCAGGAATCACTCCCAGCAGGATCCCGCTCCCAACAAGATCCATTTTCAGCAAGATCCCCTCCCGGCAGAATCCCATCCCAGCAGGAATCACTCCTGGCAGGATCCCATTCCCATTGGGATCCCCTCCCAGCAGGAATCCCTCCCAGCAGGATCCCATTCTTGGCAGGAACCCAGCAGAAACCACTCCCAGCAGGATCCCGTTCCCAGCAGGATCCCGTTCCCATGGGGATCCCCTCCCGGCAAGATCCCAGCAAGATCCCATTCCCAGCAGGAATCAGTCCCAGCAGGATCCCACTCCCAGCAGGATCCCCCCTGGTAGGACCCATTCCCATCGAGACCCTCTCCCGGCAGGAATCACTCCCAGCAGGATCCCAAACCTGGCAGGACCCATTCCCATTTGGATCCCCCCCATCAGGACCCATTCCCATTTTGGATCCCCCCAAGCTGGACCCATTCCCATTTTGGATCCCCCCCGGCCGGACCCATTCCCATTTTGGATCCCCCCATCAGGACCCATTCCCATTTTGGATCCCCCCATCAGGACCCATTCCCATTTTGGATCCCCCATCAGGACCCATTCCCATTGGGATCCCCCCCGGCAGGACCCATTCCCATTTTGGATCCCCCCATCAGGACCCATTCCCATTGGGATCCCCCCGGCCGGACCCATTCCCATTTTGGATCCCCCCCTTTAGGACCCATTCCCATTTTGGATCCCCCCTGGCAGGACCTATTCCCATTTTGGATCCCCCCTGGCAGGACCCATTCCCATTTTGGATCCCCCCATCAGGACCCGTTCCCATTTTGGATCCCCCCATCAGGACCCATTCCCATTTTGGATCCCCCCATCAGGACCCATTCCCATTTTGGATCCCCCCATCAGGACCCATTCCCATTTTGGATCCCCCCATCAGGACCCATTCCCATTTTGGATCCCCCCATCAGGACCCATTCCCATTTTGGATCCCCCCTGGCAGGACCCATTCCCATTTTGGATCCCCCCATCAGGACCCATTCCCATTTTGGATCCCCCCATCAGGACCCATTCCCATTTTGGATCCCCCCATCAGGACCCATTCCCATTTTGGATCCCCCCAGCAGGACCCATTCCCATTGGGATCCCCCCATCAGGACCCATTCCCATTGGGATCCCCCCATCAGGACCCATTCCCATTTTGGATCCCCCCATCAGGACCCATTCCCATTGGGATCCCCCATCAGGACCCATTCCCAGCGGGATCTCACCGTGCAGCAGCACGTCCTGCAGGGATCTGCTCTCCAGCGAGAGCCGGGCCAGGCGCGGCGCGTGCTCCTTCCTGACGCGCAGCCACAGGTCCTCGGTGCGCTCCAGCCGGCCCCAGTGCCCGTCCTCCAGCTGGGGACAGCGGGGACAGCGTCAGGGGTGACCTCGTGGAGCTGCCACCCCCAGTCCTGAGCTCTGGTTATGTTCGAGATCATGTTCTGTGCTTTCAGAGCTGACTCTGAGTGAAGGTTTGTGTGGGAACCCAGAGCTTCCCTCTGGCTGCCCTGGGACCCTGGCAGGGGTCAGGAACCCCCCTGGACAGAGCCCCCAGAGACACTGTCTGTGATCTCTGCCCATGGAAAAGAGTTTTCAATCTCACAGGATGAATTACAAGCTCTGAGGGTTTGATATGAGTAATAATTAAGTAAAAATCCCAAATCCCATCCCCAACCCTGAGCTCCTGGGCAGTTTTTGCAGTTAAAATCCCCATTCCCATCCCCACCCCCGAGCTCCTGGGCAGATTTGGGTGATGTTGCAGTACAAATCCCCATTCCCATCCCCAGCCCTGAGCTGCTGAGCAGTTTTTTGGTCATTTTGCAGTAAAAATCCCAATTCCCATCCCCAGCCCTGAGCTCCTGGGCAATTTTTGCAGTAAAAATCCCCATTCCCATTCCCAGCCCTGAGCTGCTGAGCAGTTTTTTTGTGATTTTGCAGTAAAAATCCCAATTCTCATCCCCAGCCCTGAGCTGCTGAGCAGTTTTTGGGTGATTTTGCAGTACAAATCCCCATTCCCAGCCCCAGCCCTGATCTGCTGAGCAGTTTTTTGGTGATTTTGCAGTACAAATCCCAATTCCCATCCCCAACCCTGAGCTCCTGAGCACTTTTTTGTTGATTTTGCAGCACAAATCCCCATTCCCAGCCCCAGCCCTGAGCTGCTGAGCAGTTTTTTGGTGATTTTGCAGTACAAATCCCCATTCCCAGCCCCAGCCCGGGCTCCTGGGCATCTCTCAGCCCTGACCTGGCGCAGGGAGGCGGCGAAGGCCTCGTGGGAGCTGTTGAGGCGCGTGCGGAACTGGCTGCAGATGCTCTTGGCCAGCTTGGAGGCGCTGAGGCTCTCGATGGCGTCCTGGGCCACCTTCCTCTTCCACTCGCTGGTGATGGCCGGGGGGCTGACCCAGGTGAGCCGCTGGATGATCTGGGAAAAACCCCGGAATCACAGAGTCACAGCTTGGGAGAGACCTTCCAGATCGACCCAGCCCCGACATCTCAATTAAATCCCAAAAACCAGCCCGAATTCACGGCACGAATACCAAAAATCAGCCACAATCCAGGGCACGAATCCCAAAAAGCAGCCCCAAATCCATGGCACCAGTTCCTGGAATAAACCCTAAATCCAAGGCACCAATCCCTGCAATCAGCCCCCAATCCATGGCAGAAATCCCAAAGATCAGCCCAAAATTCAAAAAACAAATTCCAAAAAACAGCCCCCAGTCCAAGGCACAAATCCCTGGAATCAGCCCCAGTCCAAGGCACCAATCCCAAAAATCAGTCCCAAATCCGTGGAATCAACCCCAATCCAAGGCTCAAATCCCAAAAATCAGCCCAAATCCATGGCAGAAATCCCAAAAATCAGCCCCAGATTCAAGGCACCAATCCCAAAATCAGCCCCCAATCCATGGCAGATATCCCAATAATCAGCCCCAGTCCAAGGCACAAATCCCAAAAAACAGCCCCAAATCCATGGCACCAATGCCAAAAATCAGCCCCAGATCCCCAGCAGAAATCCCAATAATCAGCCCCAAATTCAAGGCACCAATCCCAAAAATCAGCCCCCAGTCCATGGCACAAATCCCAAAAATCAGCCCTCAATCCCTGGAATCAGCCCCAAGCCAAGGCTCAAGTCCCAAAAATCAGCCCCAAATCCATGGCACAAATCCCAAAGATCAGCCCCAAATTCAAGGCACAAATTCCAAAAATTAGTCCCAAATCCCTGCAATCAGCCCCAAATCCAAGGCACAAATCCCAAAAATCAATCCCAAATCCCTGGAATCAGCCCCAATCTAAGGCAAAAATCCCTGGAATTATCCCCCAGTCCAAGGAACCAATCCCAAAAATCAGCCCCCAATCCAAGGCACAAATCCCTGGAATCATGCCCCAGTCCAAGCCACAAATCACAAAAATCAGTCCCAAATCCCTGGGATCAGCCCCAAATCCAAGGCACAAATCCCTGGGATCAATCCCAAATCCAACACATCCAATCCTTTTTTTGAACACACCCAGGGATGGTGACTCCACCACCTCCCTGGGGCACTTCAGCACTCTTTTAATCAAAAACCTTTTCCTAAAATCCAACCTAAATCCCTTCCCGAAATTCCCTCTCTGAGCTGGAACTTCACTCCCTGCTCGGATGGATGAGCAAGAACAAAACTTTTCCTGAAATAATCCCAGCTCAGGGTGGGAACAAATCCCAAATTCCTCCTCCTCCCTTCCTGGGACAGGGATCCACTCTGCAATTCCCTGTTTTTTAATGAAGGGTGAGGCAGAGCAATTTAATTACCCACTAATTACAGGAAGTGCTGATTCCAGCACCTGGAATTTCCACCAGGAAAAAGCTGCTTCCCTGGAAATTCCACCAATTTTGGAACAGCTCTCCCTGATTTTCCCACCAATATCAATTAATCCCCTCTGGATGAAAATCCTGGAATTCCTAGAATGAAAAGGATTTAAAATTTTATTAATTAAATTTTACCCCATTCCACCAGCCCAGGTTGCTCCAACTCCATCCTGGGGCACTTCCAGGCATGGAAATCTCCAGGAATAAACTCCCAGAGGGAATTTAAGAGGATTTTTTGCTGCAAAATTCCCTTTTTTGAGCATCCATACCTGTTTGATCTGTTCCCACAGCATCCTGGTCACCGTGGAGCCCGAGTGGAAAGTGACCTCCACGTGGTAGGCGGCGTTCAGGATCTGGAAAAGCAGGGAAAAGAGGGAAAAATGGGAATTCTGCCAGCCAGGAGCTTTGCCAGAGCCTGTGAAAATGGAAAAAATCAGGATAGTCCATGAATCACATGGTTCATTGATTTATTGTGGTGTTTCGTGGCTGTTTTTAGGCTGTAATTTGATTATTTTATACAAGTTTGGGAGCTAACTGATTTATTGTTTGTTTCACATTGATTTATTGTATTATTTCATGAGTGTTTTAAGCTGTAATTTGATTATTTTATACAGGTTTAAGAGATAATTTATTTATTGTGTTATTTCACATTGATTTATTGTGTTTTCTCATGAATGTTTTAGGTTGTAATTTGATTACTTAATACAGGTTTGGGAGATAATTGATTTATTGTGTTATTTCACATTGATTTATTGTGTTATTTCATGGGTGGTTCTGGGTCATAATTTAATTATTTTATAACAGCTTATGAGATAATTGATTTGTGTTATCTCATGTGTGGTTTTATGTTGACATTAGATTATTTTATACGGGTTTAGGAGATAATTGATTTATTCTGTTGTCTCATGAGTGTTTTTAGGCTGTAATTTGATTATTTCATAGAGATTTGGGACATAACTGATTTACTGTATTATCTCATGTATGTTTCATGGCCATAAATTGATTATTTTGTACAGGTTTGGGAAATGATTTATTGTGTTATTTCACACTGATTTATTGTGTTATTTCATGAGTGTTTTAAGCTGTAATTCAATTATTTCATACAGATTTGGGAGCTGATTTACTGTATTATCTCACGTGTATTTTATGGCTGTGATTTGATTAATATATAGTGGTTTATGAGATGATTTATTTTATTATCTCATGTGTGTTTCATGGCCATAATTTGATTATTTCATACAGATTTAGGAGCTAATTGATTTATCTTGTTACCTCACATGTGTTTCATGGCAGTAATTTGATTATTTCATACAGATATGGGAGATAACTGATTTACTGTATTATCTCACATGAGATAAATTGATTATTTTATACAGATTTGGGAGCTAATTGATTTACTGTGTTATCTTATGGATGGTTTTAGGCCACAATTTCATTACTGTGTTACCTCACATGTGTTTTATGGCCATAATTTGATATTTTATAGACATTCAGGAGCTAACCGATTTACTGTATTACCTCACATGTGTTTTACGGCCATAATTCGATTATTTCACACAGATTTGGGAGGTAACTGATTTACTGTGTTATCTTACGGATATTTTTAGGCCATAATTCGATTCTTTCACACAGATTTGGGAGGTAACTGATTTACTGTGTTATCTTACAGATGTTTTATGGCCATAATTTGATTATTTCATACAGATTTGGGAGGTAACTGATTTACTGTGTTATCTTACAGATGTTTTTAGGCCATAATTCGATTATTTCACACAGATTTGGGAGGTAACTGATTTACTGAGTTATCCCATGGATGTTTTTAGGCCAGAATTACACAGACTTGGGATCTAATTTATTTATTGTGTTACCCCACCTGTGTTTTATGGCCACAATGTGACCGTTCCACACAAATTTAGGAGCCTGGCAGCCCCGTGCCCACCTGCTTGAGATAGTTGCTGGTGATGTGGCCGGAGCCCTCGCGGGGTTTCTCCAGCCCCCGGGGCGGGTGCACGGAGCCCTCCCAGGACTCCTCCAGGCTCTTGAGGCAGCGCTCCAGGGTGCCCACGAAGCTCTCCCGCAGGTAATCCACGGAGCTGATCAGTTTGTTGGCCACGGCCTGGTTCAGCCGGGAGATGATCAGCTCCTGGATCTGCTGCATGCAGCGCTTGATGTCCTTGGAGCTGACGGGCTCGCCGCTCTCGGGAATGATGATGTCTGCAGCAAAAGGGAGCAAAAGTCAACCTTTCTCTGTCCCCTCTCAGGATTTTGTCATACAGGTGTACAGAGAGAAATGAAAGGGAAAACAATTTCTATTTCTGCTCCTTGTTTATTGCCGGAGCTCACCCTTGGCCGAGGGTGGCTCTAAAGGCTCAGCAGTCTCTGTTCTCCGGTCTCAAGGCAGTTTATTGCAAGTTATCTAAAAGATTTTCTCCTGGGGCTGCTGTGGTTTGCTCACAGCTCAGGCAGAGGCACACACACACCCTGACATCCTCTCTGACTCCCGACTGCTTCTTCTCTCCCCCTCTGCCCAGGGCTGCTGCTGTCTTTTATATGGTACATTCCGTGTTACATGGGTACAGTTTTTCCCCAATGCCCATTACCTATATTAAATGGTGCTTTTCTATCTTTTAGATGGTACATTACGTGTTACATGGGTACAGTTTTTCCCCAATGCCCATTACCTCTATTAAATGGTGCTTTTCTATCTTTTATATGGTACATTACGTGTTACATGGGTACAGTTTTTCCCCAATGCCTATTACCTATATTAAATGGTGCTTTTCTATCTTTTATATGGTACATTACGTGTTACATGGGTACAGTTTTTCCCCAATGCCTATTACCTATATTAAATGGTGCTTTTCTATCTTTTATATGGTACATTACGTGTTACATGGGTACAGCTTTTCCCCAATGCATATTACCTGTATTAAATGGTGCTTTTCTATCTTTTATATGGTACATTACATGTTACATGGGTACAGTTTTTCCCCAATGCCCATTACCTGTATTAAATGGTGCTTTTCTACTCTAATTTTCCATTTCTTACCGCCTCCCTCCCCCTCACCACCCCAAACCCTCCAGCTGGCTCTCACCTCTGAACTCCATACTGGCAGCATCCTCCAGCAGCTCCTCCTTCATGTTGCCCAGGGTGTCCACGATCATGTCCTTCATCTCCTCCTGCTTGCGGTTGGCGATGCCCATCAGGGACTCGTAGAGCTCGTTCTCCTTCCTGCGCGTGTACTGCAGGCGCTTGGGGGTGATCTGCAGGTCCCGCTGCATGTCGAAGGCCTGGTTGATGAAAATGTTGAGGCAGCGCCCGTGAACCTCACTCAGCCTCGTGGCGGCCTCCACCAGGTGCTGCTGCAGCACCTGCCTGGAGAAGGAGCTCAGCAGCCGCAGCTTCTCCAGCTGCTCCACCAGCATGGACGAGCCGGGAGCGCCGCAGCCGCAGGGGCTGCAGGGGCTCAGGTACTGCAGCTCCAGCAGCTGCAGCTGCAGCAGGGATTTGTCCTTGCTGCGGTTTTTGGGGGAGTTCAGCTCGCTGCCGGCCTCGGGGATTCGGAGGAAGAAGATGGGGAGGGAGAATTTGTCTCTGATTTCTCGAAGCTCTGCCTGGTCCGACGGGGACAGCTGGGGCTCGCTGATGGCAAAGGTGACAACGGGCAGCACCTGGTTCACAAACTCAGCCAGGGTGGCCTCAGCTGACTGGAAGCCCCGGCACGGAGCCACCACGATGTCCACTTCCTGAGAAAATAAAAAAGGAGGAGCTTTGGAGAGGTTTTTTTTTCTGTGGAAAAATGCCCTGGGATTCGTTCGTGCAGCAAAAAACTGGAATTGTTTAAAGCAGATCTGGAGTCTCACCTGCAAGGCTGATCCCTAACTCCAAACTCCTTATTTCGGACCAAATCCTTGGAGTTTTAGGCCAGTTGAGGACCAGGATGATTCCTGGACAACTCCAAATTCCTTATTTTGGACCAAATCCTTGGAGTTTTAGGACAAAACTTAGGACAAGTGTCCCAGGAAAGAGCCAGCATGGCAATTCATTAAACAGGGCTGTGGCAGTGCCACCCCAAGCTCCCCACGGAGCAGGGCAGGGACAATTTGTGAATTCATTTGTCAGGGCTGTCAATGTCACATCCCACATGCCAGGGACAGTGGCAGCGCCACCCCAAGCTCTCCAGGGACAGTGGCAGTGCCACCCCAAGCTCTCCATATGCCAGGGACAGTGGCAGTGCCACCCAAGCTCTCCGGGGACAGTGGCAGTGCCACCCCAAGCTCTCCAGGGACAGTGGCAGTGCCACCCCAAGCTCTCCATGGAGCAGGGACAGTGGCAGTGCCACCCCAAGGTCTCCAGGGACAGTGGCAGTGCCACCCTCACCTTGAGCAGCGCGCAGGGCAGCACCACCTCCAGCTCTGCCACCCTCTGCGCGGGATCCTCGGCGTCCCCGGGCACCTGCAGGTCCTGCTCGGGGATGGTGTCCCAGTGCCCGCTGTGTGCCACCAGCGCCTGCACCAGCTCGTACTGCCCGGGCAGCGCCAGGCTCAGCCGCGGCCGCGCCCCGTGCGTGAAGCGCACCCGGCGGCGCCGGCAGCGCTCCTCGGTGCCAGCCCCGGGGGTGGGCAGCAGCTCCTTGGTGACAGTGCCAGCCCTGGGGGTGGGCACCAGCTCCTCAGTGACAGTCCCAGTGGAGGAAAGCAGCTCCTCAGTGCCAGTGCCAGTCCTGGGCAGCAGTTCCTTGGTGGCAGTGCCAGCTCCAAGGGATGAAAGCAGCTCCTCGGTGTCCGTGCCAGTCCCAGGGGTGGGCAGCAACTCCTCAGTGCCAGTGCCAGCCCCGGGGGTGGGCAGCAGGTCCTCAGTGACAGCCCCAGCAGTGGAAAGCAACTCCTTGGTGACAGTGCCAGCCCTGGGGGTGGTCAGCACCTCCTCAGTGGCAGTGGCAGTCCTGGGCACCAGTTTCTTGGTGGCAGTGCCAGTCCCGGGGGTGGGCAGCAAATCCTCAGTGACAGTCCCAGTGGAGGAAAGCAGCTCCTCAGTGTCCGTGCCAGCCCCGGGGGTGGGCAGCAACTCCTCAGTGACACTGCCAGTCCTGGGCAGCAGCTCCTCGGTGACAGTACCAGGTCCAGCAGAAGGCAGCGGCTCCTCAGTGGCAGCCTCGGGCAGCAGCTCCTGGGTGCCAGTGCCAGTCCCGGGCAACAGCTCCTTGGTGACAGTACCAGGTCCAGCAGAAGGCAGCAGCTCCGGGGTGCCAGCCCCGGGCAGCAGCTCCTCGCTGTCCGTGCCAGCCCCGGGCACGGGCAGCAGCTCCTGGCCCAGCAGGGTGTTGAGCAGGCGGCCCTTGGCGCGGCAGTTCTGGCCCAGGATCAGCAGGCACGGCCGCCAGCTCACCGAGCGCTGCAGCTGCTCCTCCTCGTGCCACGGGAACGGCATCGGCCCTAAAACCCAGCAGGGGTAAGGGCTCAGCCCTAAAACCCTGACAGGGCTCAGGGCTCAGCCCTAAAACCCTGACAGGGCTCAGGGCTCGGCCCTAAAACCCAGCAGGGCTCAGGGCTCGGCCCTAAAACCCTGACAGGGCTCAGGGCTCGGCCCTAAAACCCTGACAGGGCTCAGGGCTCGGCCCTAAAACCCAGCAGGGCTCAGGGCTCGGCCCTAAAACCCAGCAGGGCTCAGGGCTCGGCCCTAAAACCCTGACAGGGCTCAGGACTTGTCCCTAAAACCCTGACAGGGCTCAGGGCTCGGCCCTAAAACCCAGCAGGGCTCAGGGCTCGGCCCTAAAACCATGACAGGGCTCAGGACTTGTCCCTAAAACCCAACAGGGATCAGGGCTCGGCCCTAAAACCCTGACAGGGCTCAGGGCTCGGCCCTAAAACACAGCAGGGCTCAGGGCTCGGCCCTAAAACCCAACAGGGGTAAGGGCTCGGCCCTAAAACCCTGCCAGGGCTCAGGGCTCATCCCTAAAAACGGGACACGGCAGCCCCACAGTGTGGGGGAACGGCTGCAGGATGCTGAAGTTTTCTCAGACGCTAAAAACATCACTCAGAGCACAAAAACCTCCCTCAGACCCTACAAATGGCCCTCAGGGCCCACAGACGACCCTCAGACCCTACAAACTTCCCTCAGACTCTACAAATGTCCCTCTGACCCTACAAACATCCCTCACACCTCACAAATGGCCCTCAGACCCCACAAACGTCACTCAGACCCCACAAACGTCACTCAGAGCCCACAAACCTCCCTCAGACCCTACAAATGGCCTTCAAACCCCACAAATTGCCCTCAGAGCCCACAAACTGCCCTCATGGCCCAGAAATGGCTCTCAAACCCTACAAATGTCACTCAGACCCTACAAACTTGTCTTAGAGCCCACAAACCTCCCTCACACCCCAAAAACATCACTCAGACCCCACAAAATTCCCTCACACCCCACCAAGTTCCCTCAGACCCTACAAATGTCATTCAGACCCCACAAACCTCCCTCACACCCCACAAACATCACTCAGACCCCACAAATGTCACTCAGAGCCCACTAACGGCCCTCAGACCCTAAAAAATTCCCTCACACCTCACAAACGTCCCTCAGACCCCACAAAATTCCCTCACACCCCACAAACACCACCTGGCTGCGCTAATTCAGGCTCAGGGCAGAGTTTAGCTCCTGTTTTCTTTTTTAAAAAGTCCCATATCCCGCTTTGGGATTTGAGCTAAATGTGAGCTGAATTCAGCGTTGGCCTCGTGCACAGAAACAAATCCCTCACCTGCTGTGCTTCAGGAACACAAAAATTCCAGAGCACACGGCCCAGGAATGAAATTAAACAAGAAATGGAGCCACCAGTCCCTAAAAAATACCCAATTTGCGAGGTACAAAACACCAGGATTGCTGTGATACTGGAAGGGATTTTACAGGGTCAAAAATTCTGGTAAAAATTGCTGTTAAAATCCTTTTTTTTTTTTTTTTTTTTTTTCATGAGTCATGTTCTGGCAGCCCAAATTGTCAGGAAAATAAGATCCTCCCCTCCAGCAGGATCCTCCTCACACTCCAAACCCCATGAAAGAGATCCTACAACACATCCCTCTCCTCACTCTGACAGCTTAATCGCTCCAGTTTAATTAAAATCAGCCAAATTTGGAGCACTTTGTGGAGTCTTAGATTGGTTTAAAGCTTCTTTAAAACCCTGCCTAAGGTTTGCCTTCCCCTTAAATTTTCCAGCTAGAAATAGGATTTTGGAGGAGTTTTTCCACCCCAAAATGAAGGAAAAATCCTCTTTGTGGCTCAGCACTGCACCTCTGCCCCACAGAACCCCAAAGCCGACGTTTGGGAATGGTTTAAGGGAGGAATCTCTCCTTGAAGTGTGATTTTTGGGATTGGTTTTCCAAACAAGCCTTTCAAGAGCCACATCAAGTGACCAGAGGGCTGGAAGCTGACCGGCACCTCAGGAAAGATAAAGATCTAGGAAAATCCCACAAATGGCACATTTGAGCCTTCATCTGTGGGATGCTTTGATCTGGGGACATTCCTTGGAGCTTCTCCTGGGATTCAGGCTCTGGGGCATGAAAAAAGCAATTCAGGAAGGGCTGCAGAGGCTGAGCCTTTTCTCTGCTGAGGTTTCTGAAGGCAAAAGAGGCAGCAGAGCTCCCCTCTCCTTCCTCTCCTCCTTCCAGGCAGCCTTGGAATTGGTGGATCCTGAAGTCCAGCAAAAATATCTCTGAAAAATCACAGGGATACAGCAGCTTAAATGGAATTATTGAAGGATTGTTTGTATGGATGGAGAATCCTGGGATGGTTTGGGGTGGGTCTTAAAGCATCCAGGGACACCTTCAGGATTCTCTGGGAATTCCATCCCAGCCCCTCACAGAGAGGAATTTCCTCCTGTATCCATCTAAACCTTCCCTCTTTCAGCTTGAGGCCATTCCCTTTATCCTTATCCCCTTTCCAGGGAATTCCTTCTTGGAGCTACTTTGGATACTGGGAAACTGCTCCAAAGTCCTGCCACATCCATCTTGCCTCCAGGATTTAGGGTTAAAACACCTAAGGTCTTCCCAAATCCATCATTTCTCCAGGATTTGGGGTTAAAACACCTTTCCAAAGGTCTTCCCAAATCCATAATTTCTCCAGGATTTGGGGTTAAAACACCTTTCCCATGTTTCCACACCCCGTGGTCAGCACAGACACGGATTCAAGGCAGGAGGGACCCAACAAAAAGCAGAATCAGAACTTCTCCTAACACCACATCCATCTTTTCTTCTCCAGGATCCAGGGTTAAAACACTGTTCCCAAATCCATCATTTCTCCAGGATTTGTGGTTAAAACACCTTTCCTGTGTTTCCACACCCTGTGGTCATCACGGTCACGGATCCAGGGTGGGAGGGACCCCACACAAAGCAGGATCACAACTTCTCCTAAGGTCCTCCCAAACCTATCTTTCCTCCAGGATTTAGGGTTAAAACCTTTCTCAAGGTGCTCCCAAATCCATATTTTCTCCAGGATTTGTGGTTAAAACACCATTCCCGTGTTTCCACACCTCGTGATCAGCACAGACACGGATCTGGGGTGGGAGGGACCCAAGAAGAAGTGGGATCAGAACTTCTCAGTGGGATGCAGCCACATTCCTGGGCAGTGGCAGGAGCTGGAGCTCCAACCCAGCCCCATCCCAACTCCACCCCAGCCCCATCCCAGGGCCATCTCCAACTCCATCCCAGCTCTATTCCAGCTGCATCTCAGCCCCATCCCAATCTCAGCTCCACCCCAGCTCCATCTCCCAGCCCCACAGCCCCATCCCACCCCCATCTCCAGCTCCAGCCCCATCCTGGCCCCATCCTGGCTCCATCTCACCCCCATCCCAATCCCAGCCCCATCTCCCAGCTCCCTCACAGCTCCAGCACAATCCCAGCCCCATCTCCAACTCCATCCCAGCTCTATCCCAGCTCCATCTCCCAGCCCCATCTCAGGCCCATCTCCAACTCCATCCCAGCTCTATCCCAGCCCCATCCCAATCTCAGCTCCACCCCAGCTCCATCTCCCAGCCCTATCCCACCCCCATCTCCAGCTCCAGCCTGATCCCAGCCCCATTCTGGCTCCATCTCCTGCTCCACCCCAGCCCCATCCCCATGTCCAGCCCCATCCCACCCCCATCCCCATCCCAGCTCCACCCCAGCCCCATTCCAGGCCCATCTCCAACTCCATCCCAGCTCTATCCCAGCCCCATCTCAGCTCCATCCCGGCCCCATCTCACCCCATCCCAATCCCAGCCCCATCTCCCAGCTCCCTCACAGCTCCAGCACAATCCCAGCCCCATCTCCAACTCCATCCCAGCTCTATCCCAGCTCCATCTCCCAGCCCCATCTCAGGCCCATCTCCAACTCCATCCCAGCTCTATCCCAGCCCCATCCCAATCTCAGCTCCACCCCAGCTCCATCTCCCAGCCCTATCCCACCCCCATCTCCAGCTCCAGCCCCATCTCACCCCCATCCCAATCCCAGCCCCATCTCCAGCTCCATCCCAGCCCCAATCCGGCTCCATCTCCAGTTCCATCTCCTGCTCCACCCCAGCCCCATCCCCATCTCCATCTCCATCTCCCAGCCCCATCCCACCCCCATCCCAGCCCCATCCCCATCCCCATCCCAGCCCCATCCCCATCTCCATCTCCCACCCCCATCCCAGCCCCATCCCACCCCCATCCCAGCCCCATCCATGTGACAGCCCCCCAAGGCTCTGGGCAGCCCCGGGGCACACATCCCATGAATTCCCAGATGAAAGGAGGATCAAAGGAGGCCTGTCCAGGGAACAAGGGCGGCTCTCACCAGGGCTCCTTTCCAAATCCACTCAAAGCTCAGCAGAACAACCTCAGATTTATGGGCTCTGTGGAAGCTCCAAGCATTGACTCATCCCTTTTCCTGCACTTTGATGGTCTTGCTCGCCTTTATTCCATTTTCCAGACCCTTTTTTTGCCAATCTGGAGGGTTTTTCCAAGGATTCCGGCCATTTCTGAGCTGCTGGTTGGGACTTCCAGCAGGCTTTGACCACCACGAGATTTACATCTCAACACATTTGTGTCAACTGAGGTGTCCATAACCAGCTTGGAGCAACCTGGAACGTGTGAGACTGGATGGGGTTGAAGGTCCTTTCCAACCCAAACCAGTCTGGAATTCTGAATAAATTCACTTTTAGTTCCATATCAGCACAGAGATGTTGATTCCAGCAGGAAAAAAAATCCAATTAATTCCGATTTCAGCAGCTCCAAAAGCTGCAGAGCCAAACTCCATCCTCTGAAGCTCCTTGGGAAATCTTTTCATCAGCCTGAGGAGGTATTCCACAAATCCCAACCACCTTTCCACTGCTCTTAAATCAAACTTTTTACCCCCAAAATGAGCCCTAATCCTTAGGGGATCATGTTGGTATCAGCAGAGCTCACATTTGAACAGGATAAACCCCTTGGCCAGCAGAGATCAGCACAAAAACACCTCCAAACCCTCTGGAAAACTTCCTAAAAAAATACATTTATTTATGGAAGCTGAGCCTCAGCCCACACCATTAAGGGAACTCCCAGCTGCTGCCCAAAACTCTGGGGATTTCCTCAAAAACTTCCCAAAATAAGGCAAAAGAAACCTCCAAACCCTCCGTTTGCCAGATTGTTCCAATCATTCCAGGCACAAAGAAAACAACCCCAACGAGCAGAAAACAAATTGATTTTTTTTTTCCCATATCTTTACCTATTTATGCTGCAAATCCCTAACTCAGGTTTTGTTTTTAAAGCTCCCAAAGAACCCAAAAACCTCAGGGATTGGAGGAAATTCCCAAATTAAGGCAATTCCTGGAACATCATCCCAGGATTCTATTTGTGCATCCATACAAATAATCCTTCAATAATTCCAATTAAGGAATTATTAATAGTTAATTATCCTGTAATCATTGCACTGCTGTGATTTTTTGGGGGGGGATTTTTGGGCTGGAATTAAAGGATCCCCAAATTCCCAGCGAGGAGAAGGAGCTGTGGGGAAGAGCCAGGATTTTGCTGACTCCCTGGGAAATGCAGGCAAAGCAAACACAACTTTCCCTTCCCTCACAAACCCTGGATCCAGCTCAGTTCTGCTCCCAGGAGTAGCAAAGCCTGGCAGTGATGGTGTTGTGTCACCCTCTGAGCAGGGAAAGTGAGAAATAAAAGGATTTATTGTCTCCTTGAGCTCACCTGAGGGGTTCAGGGGCTCCTACTCAGCAGATCCTCAGCAGATCCTCAGCCCTGGCTGTGTTTGGAAGCTGATCCAAAGGGAATTTCCCTCCCTGTGCTGTCACAGCCCACCCTGCAGGTGCCCCAGCAGCAAACTCTGCACTTTGATTTGGTTTCTGAGACATCCACCTTGATTTTCCAGGTTTATTTTCACCCTTTCCTCCCCACCCCACTGCTCAGCTCCCTCTGTGCTGCACAAAACCGACCCTGCACAACTCCTTGGATAAAATTCCTTTACTTTGGTACCAGATGAAGGGCAGATTTGGGGGGAAATTCAAGGAAAATTGCACTCCTTAAACTTCCTGACAGCTAAAAACCTCCCCAGGGAAAAAAAAAAAAAAAAAGATTTCTACAATCCTGGTTTGATCCCAGCCACGTCCAGCCTGGCTCTGGGGGCTCCCAGGGATGGGGCAGCCACGGATTCCGTGGGAATTCCATCCCAGGGAAGGATTTATTCCCAACATCCCACCCAAAGCAGCCCAGGGAATCCTGGAATGGGTTGGGATGGAAGGAATCATCCAATCCCATGGGCAGGGACACCTCCCACTATCCCAGGCTGCATTTTATCACATTTTTAGCCATATTTTAACTCTATTTTTATCTATATTTTATTTCTTTTTACCTATTTTTTCCCATTTTTAATCCACTACCCAACTTGACCTTGGGGGTTCCCAGGGATGGGGCAGCCACGGCTTCCCTGGGAATTCCATCCCAGGGAAGGATTTATTCCCAACATCCCACCCAAAGCAGCCCAGAGAATCCTGGAATGGGTTGGGTTGGAAGGAAAACAACCCCCCCAGAGACCCCCTCACAAACCCCTCACAAAACCCCCCAGAGACCCCCTCACAAACCCCTCACAACCCCCCCAAGAGACCCCCTCAAAAACCCCTCACAAAATCCCAGAGACTCCCTCACAAATCCCTCACAAAAGCCCCAGAGACCCCCTCACAAAATCCCAGAGACCCCTAACAAACTCCTCACAAAACCCCCCAGAGACCCCTCACAAAAACCCCCAGAGACCCTCTCACAAAACCCTCACAAAATCCCCCAGAGACCCCCTCACAAAATCCCAGAGACCCCCTCACAAACCCCTCACAAAATCCCCCAGAGACCCCCTCACAAAATCCCCCAGAGACCCCCTCACAAAATCCCAGAGACCCCTAACAAGCCCCTCACAAAACCCCCCAGAGACCCCTCACAAAAGCCCCACAGACCCCTCACAAGCCCCCCACAGACCCCTCCCCGCAGCCGTTCCCCCTTTACCCCCACACAGCCCCGACCCTCTCTCACCTCCATCCTCGGGACCCTCATCCCCATCGCAGGCGGAGCGGGGGCCGTCACCGGCAGGCGCCGAGGCGAAAGGCTGTCCCTGGGAGAACTTGACGTCGCGGAAGAACCTCTTGGTCTCTCGCAGGTTGTGCTGCAGCCGCGCCAGGTGCCGGTTGTAGTGGCCGAATGAGCGGCAGAGCTCCCGCACGGCCCCGCCGGGACCCCGCCATGACGGCGCCTCCTCGCCCTCCATGTCCTCCGGGTCCGCCGCGCTATCCCCTCCCCACCGCGGCCAGCTCTCGGGCCCGGCCAGGCTGCCGCCCTTCGGGGAGGAACCTCCCCGAGGATTTCCTCTCCTCCCGACCCCCCTCCCGCCCCTCCCGCCTCCCCGACCCCCGCGGCCGCCGCCTTCTCCCGAGGGCAAGCGCCGCCACCGGCCGCGCTGCGTGTGCGCGGAACGTTTGTCGGCGCGCCTCAGGGCAAAGGGGGAGGAGGCCCGGCGCACCCCGCGCGCGAGGCATGCTGGGAGATGTAGTTTATTCACGCTAGAAATGGAGTTTATTTTCCCCGGCCAGCGGAGGGACGCCGGGAGTTGTAGTCTGCTGTGCCGCAGAGCCTCATGGAATTTGTAGTCTCACCAATCGCGGCCGCCGACCTCTCCCCGCGGCCTCTGCGCACCCCCGCGGGGGACGAGCAAAAATCCTCCAAAAAGAGAGAGCGACCACGAAATGACGAATTTAAACAGGGGGAGCAAAAGGCGGAGCTCAGGCGCCGCCGGCCGCTCCCCCACCCCGCGCTGCGCGGAGCTGCTCGGCAGGAGGCGGCGCGCCCGTCTCCAGCTCCGCTCCGCCTCATCAGCGGCGGCCCCGCCCTCCGCGCGCGCTCATTGGTTAATTCCTCCCTCCCGCACCGCCCACCCATCACCCTCCTCCAATCACCGCGCGGTTCCCCTCCTCCTTCTCTCCGCCATTGGCCGGCGGCGCTGTCCGTCAGGCGGCGGCGGCGGCGATGCCGGTGGCGGCGGCGGGCGCGGAGCCGCCGCGGCGCGGAGCCGCCGCCCGGCCCGGGCTCGGCGGGGCGGGCGGGCCGGGGCCGCGCAGCCCGCGGGCCCCGCAGCGGCCGCCGGGGCGCCGCCCGCCGCCGCCGCCGCCGCCGGTGCGGCCGTAGGCACCCCCGCCCCGCCACCGCGGTCCGCGGGCGCGGCGCTCCCGGGATGAAGCGGTGCCGCTCGGACGAGCTGCAGCAGCCCGAGGACGATCCCGGCGCCGCGGGGGAGTCGCCCGGTCACGGCGTGATGGAGGGCAAGGCCGGCGAGGCGGCGGCGGCCCCCGAGGCGGGCGCTGTCCCGCCGCCGCGCTCCAAGCCCCCCGACCTGAAGGTGAGAGTCCCGGTGGGACACGGGGGACGGGAAATTCCCATGGGATCGGCGGGGGGTTCTTCCCGGTGGGGAGAACCCAGCGGGGTCACCGGAGCCATGGAGATCGCGGGTGGCAGCATCGCCATCCCCTCGGTCCCACAGGTGTGACCTTGGAGGATCGTGGCGAGGGGCGCTCCGGGATTGGGATAATCCCGGGAATAGGGAGAGGAGACCCCCGGGAACCGGGTGCTCCTGGATCGGTGTGCTGTTATCAACAGAGATCCTGCTGGGATTGGGATGCTGCTGAGATGGGGACGGTGCTGTTAGCGGGATCCGACTGGATGGGGATGCTCCAGGGATGGAGACACTCCTGGGATGGGGGATCGCTGGAATCCGATCCTCCCGGGATGCGGCTGCTCCTGCGGTGGGCACGGGCATGGTGCTGGGATCAGGCCGGTGCCAGGATGGGGCTGGTCCTGCAGTGGGGACACTGCTGGGATTGGGATTCTGCTGGGATGAAGGAACAGAGCGCTGCGGGCTGCCCCTCTGCAGAGGGGCTGCGCAGATCCCGGGAAATCCCTGCCGGGAGATGCTCCGGGAAGATCCGGGGGAGATGGTCCTGGAGGATTTCGGGGAGATCCAGGAGGATCGGGAGGAGAGGATCCGGGAGATCCAGGAGGATCGGGAGAGAGGATCCGGGGGAGATGCTCCGGGAGGATTTCGTGGAGATGGTCCAGGAGGATCCAGGGGAAATGCTCTGGGAGGATCCAGGAGGATTGGGGGGGATGATCCGGGAGGATCCGGGGGAAATGCTCCGGGAGGATTTCGGGGGGAAGTGCTCCAGGACGATCCTCCTGGATCGGGGTGGGGGGGGATGATGCTCCGGGAAGATCCGAGGGAGATATTCCTGGAGGATTTCGGGGAGATGCTCCAGGAGGATGCTCCGGGAGGATCCAGGAGGATTGGGGGGGATGATCCGGGGGAGATGCCCCGGGAGGATTTCGGGGGGAAGTGCTCCAGGAGGATCCAGGAGGATCGGGGGGGGGGATGATGCTCCGGGAGGATCCGGGGGAGATGCCCCGGGAGGATTTCGGGGAGATGCTCCAGGAGGATGCTCCGGGAGGATCCAGGAGGATGCGGGGCTGCGGCACCGGGGAGTGACGGTGTGGAAATGGCCCCGAGGCTGCTCCTGCCGGGCCTCGGGGGCCGCTGGATGAGGAAAACAAACCCGGGGCACTGCAGCGCTGCGGGAGGCACAGAGCCCATCCCGGAGCGGGGGGATCCGGCCTGAAATCCGGCACACAATTCCCTTGGCTTTGGCAAAGCAGCAGCTCCGACCCCCCGGCGGCTCAACAGGGTTTTTATGGATGAATTCCCAGCGTGGAATTTGGGGTGTGCAGGTGTGGGAATGCCGTGGGCAGAGTGGGATCACTCTGTGGTGGCACGGGCGCTTTCAAAAAGCCCTGGGAAAAGTGGGAAATGTCCCTGCTGGGCCCTGGGATGCAGGATGGAGCCCTCGGGGTGGCAGCCCTGGCGGTGCCACCGCTGTGGTCAAGGTCACGAGGAAGGGACAGCACTGCCAGGCTCTGCCAGGCTCTGCCATCCCTTCCAGAACGCTGCCAGGAGATCAAATCCCTGCTCCCAGGGGAAAACTCTGCTTGGAGCACGAGGAGCCCCGTGGAGGTGACACAAGTGGGGCCTTCCCTTGGTGGCCCAGCAGCTCCTGAGGCTGTTTGGCTTTGCTGCCCCAAAAACAGCTGGAGGAGGCAGGGCCAGGCACATCTGTGGGACGGGAGGGTGGCACGGGGTATCCCAGAGCAGCTGTGGATCCCTGGCAGTGCCCCAGGCCAGGCTGGACAGGGTTTGGAGCAGCCTGGGACAGTGGCAGCTGTCCCTGCCCACCCCTACAGAGGGTGGGACTGGATGAGGTTTAAATTCCCTTCCCAGCCAAGCCATTCCACGATTTTCTGATTCCATAATTCCACGATCCATGAGGATGTGGAGCTCAGGGCCATGCTTGGGACGCCCAAGGTGCTGTTTCCCACCCATCCTTTCTCTTCTGGGGCTCAGAAGGGGTTGGATGTTGGCCAAAAGGAGCTGCAGCTTGCCCTGGCTGTGCCCACCACCCCAAACATTCCAGGACTGGCACATCCCAGCAGGAGCTGGAGCTCCACAGCCTCATCCAGCAGCAGCATCCGAGGCCAAACAAACCCCATTGATTTTATCGAGCTGCCTGTGCTCCCTTCCTGCAGGTTTGCTGCCAGTGCTCACCTTTAATGCGTTTGGGGCTCAGCAATTAATTAAAATAAATCCTCAAACTGGGCAGGAGGCAGGGGAAGCTGGGACTGGCTGCTGCCCGCAGCTGCCACGGCCACCACCAGTTAATAAACTCATAATTAATTAATTAATCGGAGTTTTCCTGCCTCAAACCCCCTCTGGAGCTGCTGGTGGAGTGGGTTCAGGCTGGTCTTGCTGGCCCTGCTCCAAATCCAGAATCCTGTCCCTGTGAATGTTTAAGGATCAGAGATTCCCATCCCCGTGGACATTTAAGGATCACAGATTCCTGTCCCCATGGATGGGGAAGGATCAGAGGTTCCTGTCCCTGTCCTGTCCCCATGGACATTTAAGGATCAGAGATTCCTGTCCCTGTCCTGTCCCTCTGGATAATGAAGGATCAGAGATTCCCATCCCCATGATTGATGAAGGATCACAGATTCCTGTCCCCATGGATGGGGAAGGGTCAGAGGTTCCTGTCCCTGTCCTGTCCCTGTGGATGGGGAAGGATCAGTGATTCCTGTCGCTGTCCTGTCCCCATGGATGAGGAAGGATCAGTGATTCCTGTTCCTGTCCCCATGGACATTTAAGGATCAGAGATTCCTGTCCCCATGGGTGATGAAGGATCAGAGATTCCTGTCCCTGTCCTGTCCCCATGGATGGGGAAGGATCAGCGATTCCTGTTCCTGTCCTGTCCCCATGGACATTTAAGGATCAGAGATTCCTGTCCCCATGGATGATGAAGGATCAGAGATTCCCATCCCCATGGACATTTAAGGATCACAGATTCCTGTCCCCATGGATGGGGAAGGATCAGAGATTCCTGTCGCTGTGGATAGGAAGGGTCACAGATTCCTAGATTCCTGTCCCTGTCCTGTCCTTGTAGATGGGGAAGGATCAGAGATTCCCGTCCCCATGGATGAGGAAGGATCAGAGATTCCTGTCCCAGTGGATAGGAAGGGTCAGAGATTCCTGTCCCTGTCCTATCCCCATGGATGATGAAGGATCAGAGTAAACCCTTTGCTGCCAGCTGAGATGGGTTTGAGGTGACACCCTGGATCCTGCCTGGTGTCACCTCCAGCCCTGGCTCCGGCGGATCCGTGGCTGCTCTCCCTTCCCAGCCCTGGCTCCGGTGCCGCCTTAGGGAAAAGAGGGATAAAATAAGTCCTGGCAGGGAGCAGAGCTGCTGTGTGACAGCTGTGCTCAGAACCCGTTGGTGGCAGGGATTTCTGGAGGAGCGATGGGATCCTTCCAAACCCTGCATCCAAAACTGCCGCTTCTCCTGAGCCAAGGGTTTTCCCTGGGTTTCTGTTTTCCCTGGCTCTGTTTTTCCTGGCTCTGTTTTCCCTGGATCTCTGGCTTCCCTGGATGTGTTTTCCCTGGGTTTCTGTTTTCCCTGGATGTCTTTTCCCTGTCTCTCCCTTTTCCCTGGATGTGTTTTCCCTGGATCTCTGTTTTCCCTGGCTCTCTGTTTTCCCTGGATTTCTGGTTTCTCTGGATGTCTTTTCCCTGTCTTTCCCTTTTCCCTGGATGTGTTTTCCCTGGATGTCTGTTTTCCCCAGCTCTCCGTTTTCCCTGGCTCTCTGTTTTTCCTGGGTCTCCGTTTTCCCTGGCTCTCTGTTTTCCCTGGATTTCTGTTTTCCCTGGATTTCTGTTTTCCCTGGTTGTGCTTTCCCTGGCTCTCCTTTTTCCCTGACTGTCCCTTTTTCCTGTGTGTGTTTTCTCTGGATCTCCCTT